TTCCTTCCAGTCCGCGCCACGCCCGGCCCCTCCGACCCCCGCGTGCCTAGCCCTCCCAGCGTCGCCGGCGCCGCCGCTCTGCTTCCGGCGGCGACGGCTGCCGTGCACCGCGCCTAAGCCTCTCGGAGCTGCAAACAGGCCCCCGGCCTCCCCTCGCGCGTGCTCCTCTTGCTCCTCTCCCGGAGCCCGAGCGATGGACCTCCCGGCCCCGACCCAATCCTCCGCCTCCTCCCACGCGCGCAACGCCTCGTCGTCGTCGTCGCCGCCGCCGCCGCCGCCCTCGCCGGGATAAGGGCCGCCGTCGCCGTCACTCGCCGATATCCTCGACGCCGCCGAAAACCCGCCCCAGCCCGTAGTGTCCGATCGAGAGTCTGCCTCAAGCCCCCCCAAGAAAGATTCCGCACTGGTGACGTTTTCCGCTTCGCCTCCTCTGAGAAACCGCCCGCCGCCGCCGCCGCTGCCGCCAGCTGTGGCGGCTGCGGCGGCAACGCTCCCGCGCCTACCGCCGACCGGCTTCCACACCGGCTGCTGGAACTCCATCCCAAACGGCGCGGCGGTAGCGGCCACGGTGGCCGGTTTCCTCGACGGACCGGCGGCGGCGGTGGAGATGGTACGTCGCCGTCGCTGGGCGGCGGCACCTGCGGCGCCGCCGGCTGCTGCTACGTCCTCGGGCCTGCCGTCCATGTCCCAGAGACGGCGGATGACGTGCGCGACCACCTTGATCCAGCGCCGCTCGCTCACGAACATATTCTGAGGAAAGACGGAGTTGTTGGGTGCGAAGCAAATCGGTGTGGATAGAGCGTGGCCAACTACTTTCTTAGATCGCGGCGCTCGCTTTCTCCTTCAAGAATTTTTCACCCCACTCTCGTCTCTGCACGAACGATGCAGAGAGTGATACACACAGCTCTTGAGAAGAGACGTTGAAACTGGAAAACACACACACCGTGGCCCGGTTTTCACTTCGTGGATTTTGGGGAGACCCAGCAACATTGCCGATCACGCGCCGCCTGTGCCGGTGTGTGTGCGGCCAAGCGCAATTTTGAAGGGACTCACTCTTCACGCTGGATACATGCAGCTCGTTGCAAAAATAAACAGAAACGGGATAGCAACGAGATCGCCATTCCTAATGTCCTCACGACCACATGCTGACAACCAAATTCTGACGCAATAGGGGGGCTAGAAACACAGATGGATCTTCTTCATTGGTCGGCCGGGCAGTGCAGACGCTGAGCAAAGACACCCACACCCACCTACCGTACACACTTGAACGAACACTCGCGTTTCTCATCCCGCTAATCGAGATCGACAAACGCGGCATTCATCGTATGAACTGCTATCGCCAAGAACAAACAAGCACATCCTGCCGCACCTGTCCGTCACGCATCCACCCCCCCGCCTCCGCGCCCCCCTGCGTGCTCGCGGTGCTCAGCGTGCTCGTGTCTCTAGCCGCGTGTGCGAGCGTGGGAGGGAGGCACTCCCGCGCCAGAGCCCTAGCCCGGGAGGGGACACGATGAGGCAGACACCGAGGGAAAATCAGCAGGTACAGCAGGACAGAACGAGGCGTTTCGGTGCGACTGGGACGTAGTTGCCCGTCGACGTGTGGACGAGTGCTAAGCTATGGCTAGGGTTTGCGTCATGAGCAGAGCACACACACGCGACCACTGCAGAGGGGGGATAGAAATCTCGGAGCAATGGACGTGGTTGGCAATGATCAGAACTGATCGTAGTGAGAACCTTCCATGGCCGTGAATGTGAATACTCCAACGTGAAGTACAAAGAATGAAAATCAAGTGAAAACTGGTCGGGGAAGATAGCGGAGGATGCACACTTCACGCTCCACGAGGTGAGGAACACTCGAGTGGCCCGGTTTCTTGGTTGAACTTTCGCCGGTCACAATGCACCACACCCCCGTCGTAATAGCTGCATCCTTCTCCCACCATTCTCTCTCCACCCCCCAAAGAGAGACATGCAGAAGTTGAATTGGCAGTACAAGGTAAGTAGAATGTCGGACGATAGACTACCAGCCATGGTTGACAAGGCAGCTTGGGGAAAAGCGACTCCAGGGAAGAAGGGAATCAGATGGGACAAGGTGGTAGAGAAGGTTTGGAAGGAGATAGGAGACGAGGAGGAGACGTTGGACACGGAAGGGTTCGGGGGGTTCAAGACGAAAGTCAAGGAGATGCTAGAAAGTAGGGAGGAGGCAACCCTTCGGAAGAAGGTACGAAGCGAAGGCCACTTGGAGATATACGGGAAGTTGAAAGAAGGGATAGGGATGAAGACGTACTTGGACGGCCCCATGGACTACGCGAAAAAGCTGAAATTGCAATTTCGAGTAGGCGATCTGGACTTGCCAGAACGGAGGAAGAGGTATACCAGCCGTAGGAGAGAGGAAGAGGAGGATAGACACACATGTCCATGTCGCAAATCGGAGGAGAGTCGACCCCACATAGTTGGGGAGTGTGAGTTGTACAGGAAGGAAAGAGAGGATCTCGAGGAGGAAATGAGACAGAGAGGGTGTGACATGGACAAGTTTGGTAAATTAGACAACAGCGAAAAAACGATCGCGATAATTGGGGATAGATGGTGGGCACAAGAGGCCCTAGAGGACGGGGATAAGATGTGCAAGAATTTTTTATGGAGTTTGTGGCAGAAACGTAAAGAGCTCCCAAATGTTGTTGGTGTCTCTAGTAGGGGTAGGAACGGTGCTCCGTCTCGAAAGGGACGCGTGGTCAATGGTCAAATGACTACGGCAAGCAACAAATGAGTACGCCCCCCCCGCCGTCTCCCTCCCCGCCGTCGACTCCCTTACCCCCTCGTGAGTATCGGAAAGTCGAGAGACGCATCCGCGCGAAATATGGTTTTCCGCCCAACTGCGTGTACAACGACACTTGATGTATGCCCACAGATCCTGAGTGTATCACGGACACCAGTCCTTCTACGCGGCAAGAGACTCCCTCTTATCCTTATCTCTCACATGACAAGGTGGACGTCCTTCGCGCTCCTCTTTGCGCCCCTCGCACCGCCACCACCATCGCCGCCGCCGCCGCCACCACCGCCCTTGGACGTTAACAGCGATGCCGAGTCGCCGAAGAAGAGGAACTGAAGGGCGCACGGGAGGTCCGACAAGCGGATGCCCAGTGCCGAGGCCTTGAGCTCTCGGAAAGCCTCGTGAGCCAGCCGCCTAACAGAAGTATAGAACGCGGTCGTCTTTCACTCGTTGATAATACTGGTTGGCCGCTCCAGTCGAAGAGAAAATGTATATCAACCGAACTCAGGAAGAGTCGTTGAATCCGTGCTGGACTCCCAACAAATCAACGACATTTTATTGAGCATCAGCAACACAAACTGCCGACGACACTAACACCCCCATCACAGCCACCACACAACAACAACAACAACAACAACAACAACAACAACAACAACAACAACAACAACAACAACAACACAAAAAACAACCTACTTCAAGAACGTTGTTGGCAACACCCCTCCGGCAAAAAATGACCCTGCCACCTGCAACCATGAAAAACACCCACCACCGATGAAACCGGTCCGGTCACCTGATCTCCCGCTTGGCGAGGTACTGGATGGGAGTCGTGGGCGTCGCCTGGTGCATCACCGCCCCGACCCCTCCCCCCTGCGTCGCCGCCAGGTCGTCCACGAAAGGGTAGCGCGTGAGCACGTCTGGGCGTGCGGCGACCACGTGCCGCTTCCTGAAGACTGTAACTGCCCCCGCTGCACCTGGTGGACCGGCGTCGATGTTCTTGTCCTGGGGAGGACAGGGGTTAGCGTTTGTAGAAGGGGGTGTGAAACTTGAGGATGAGCTTGGAAGAAGCCGACCCCTGGTATAAACAAAACCACAAAAACTGCGCATTCTCTCGCGAAAACCTCGTGGACGTAGCTAGCCTCCTGTTGTTGTGTTGTTAGAAACCCGACGACGCCCGCCCCGCTTCCTAGTCATAGTCATAATCATAGTCATAGTGATATCGAAGTCATAGTGATAGTGATATCGAATCCCCGTTGCTTGACAATACACTTCGCTTTGGCAATTCACGACGAAGCATCACGTGCACGCCCCCCCCCCCCCCCCCCCCGTATGTATGCATGCCATTTCCCCCATTTTCAGTGCCGCTGAAAAACAACCGGAATACACCCCCGGGTGGGGTTCAACGACTTCCTACTGCCGCTCACCGCCAACACACGCTCGCGCAGCACCTCTGTCGGCGCCGCCGCATTGCCACCGTTAGCGCGAGGATGCTGCCGCTGCTGCCTTTGAGGGCTTGACGTTCTGCTCCGACATAGGGGTGCCGCCGCCCCCCGCTGCTTGTGCCGGCCCCTCGCGTGCTCTCTCATCGAGGACAGCACCTCCCTATCGGCGGCATCTGTGTTGTGGGTGTGAGTGTTCGGCGCATTGTTCAATACGCGGGACACGGGGAGGCAAGACTCATGAAAGAGACAAGAGAGAAGCTTGATTTATCCAGAGCGTGCTGTAATGATATATTTGTGACAGACTATACATGGGTGAGGTCCGTCGCGCTGTCCTTACTCGCGCATACGAACAGGTGTACATGTACTGCTGTACATTAAGTTCAAACACGCGCCAAGCATACAGCATGTAGCCGCTGACAGTGTCACCATGCTCTTGCCAAGTGCCTCCCCTCACAGGTTGAAAGGTTATATTGTTGCCTTGAGTGTATTCGGGCGTACTTCAATAGCAATGCCTAACCCGACTTCGCGTTTGGCCCTTGCCACACACCGGCCGTTGTTCTCCACGTCTGGAGGGAGCTTGAAAGCAGATTGGGAACACTTTCAACAGCGCTGCCAAAAGTTCAAAGGAGGAGAAGTGCTGTTGAACGCATTTGTGCTGGATTTGCGGCATGCGCGCCAAGCGGTTCAGCTTACCCGTGGCGGCAAGCAGAGCGTCCAGCGAAAGGTTCTCCTGTCGATGGGAAGACAGCAAGCTCCGGATGCCATACGACGCCAGGCGCTGTGCACAACCACCACACCAGCCGCGTCGCCCAACAGAGGAATACAAGCATGCGGCAGATTTTATGGATCGACAAAGTATGCAAATATTGTACCGGAGCTAGAACTACAGTACTTACAATACAAACTGCGTCATTCGGTGAGACGAATAGTTACACGTTCTCTGCAGAGAGAGTCCGCAGACCGATCTGCCGTGTAGGATGCACAAGCACAAGATGTGACAACGCCTCGACCAAAGTTAGAAACTTGAGTGCTCTGCAGGACAAACACAGCAGTGACGGGTACACACATGGCGGCGTTGGAACCTTTCGTCGTGTGTTTTTTCGAAAATATGTCGTTTGAATCTTAATCTTCGGCAGCCTCTCTCTGCGTCGTGTCAGTAGGAAGTGCGGTAATTTACGTAGCCGACAGCAGTCAGTCGTGTTTTCAACCAGACGCTTAAACATTTCGAGAGGAAACGCTTTCCGTTCAGGTGGACCGCCAGTAGCCCCGAAGCGATACTGCACAACCACAAGGGCGCTGTTCTATCAAGTGCACCCCTCAGAGTCATGTCCTACAGCAGTAGTTTGAGCGCGGAGGGCACCGGCCGGGTCCTGGTTTTTAAAAATGTCCGTTAGGGAAATCAGCGCGGCGGTGGACTTTCAAGATTCCAAGGTCAGAAAAGCAACCGCCAACAACGCCGACAATAACGCTGACGGCACCAACAGCAGGAGCAGCAGCTGGAACATCACACCTGAGCAACGAGGTCGCGGGTCTCTGGCGGATAGCGAGCCAGGAAGTAGCGGACGTGAGCACTCCAGCCATCTAACCCACGCCCGTGTCCGATCCCGTCAAAGCCCCCACCGTTAAGGTAACCATGATTACGACTTGCTGCTCTTGGTTTCGGGTGCAGCTGTCCGCCGCGCATCGCCGTAGAAGGCCTTCGTGTCGTCGCCATCCGAGCACCGGCCCCTCTCTACCAGGTCCGTGCTGAAATCATACACACCTTGATGTCTCTGCGTTACGTTGCCAGTTGCTCGCTATGTATGTCGCTCGGAGGTAGCAGACTGCTGTCTTTTGTTTCTAAGGGGCTCCGGGAAATCACAACCGTAGAAGCAGTTGTTTGTGCGCGAGGCCCCCGATCCACGTGTACAACGTGTACAACGTGTAGCCAGCCCAATCTTCTGGTGCCTTGTCTCCTCAACCACACAGCCTCTCGCTGGACACCTCACACACACAGCGTGACGGAAACATCCCCTCGTTCGCTTTGCCTACACGTCGTGTTGCACAAGAAACCGCTTGGCGCAACCGGAGGGACAACCAAACTGCAACTTCCGCCGCCGCAGCAGCATGCCTCCTGCTGCAGCATCATGCGGCCGACAGCAGCAGCAGAGTCTGCGTGCCGGACCGCTCCTGGTCGTGGCGCTGGTGGCCGTCAACCTCTCGACTGCACCTCTGCTCGTTACGGCAAAATCTCTGCCGCGCTCGAGATGGGTGGCTGCGTCTTCGAATGGAGGCAGCTTGCATGACAGCAGCGCCTCGTCGAATGCTCGAGCGGTAGCGGTTGGAGCGCGCTGCGGCGCGACCAGCAGCGGCAACGAGGACGAGGGAGAGGATACCGCCGAGGTGTGTGTGCAGTACACAGCAGTCGATGTTTGTATTAACCGGTATGGTGCGATCAACGAGAAATAAGAAAGGGAGTGGGGTGCAGTTTGACTCAAAAGTTGGCCGCGGTCGGCGGAATTCACTTGATTTTGAGAAAGCGGCAGATCGCGGTGTGTGTGCGGTGTGCGGTGGAGGTTGCGAGTCGGCTCGAGAGTTGAGTACAAGTACATATTCCAGTTTCCAGAAAGAGGGCTTGGTCGATGGGAGCTTTAGAATGGTCAGGGTGCTGGGCGTTCGTTTCATGCGTGCCCCATGTTTGCGGCACAACGGGCCATTTTGCCGTGTCGACATGCGGCGCAATTCATCCCTCACAACTCACAACGCGATTTTGTCTTCATGGACGTGCCGACGTCCGTGCCATCGCCTTTCGACCGTCAGTCTCCCAGTTCGTCCGTGAGCGAGGGCGGTCTGGCCGCAACGGTGAAAGAAACCATCTCCAAGTTGATGGATGTGGTCGGGAGCTTGCTGGGGGGGAAGGGAAGCAAAAGCGGCGGCGCAGCAGACGACGGTACCAAGGCCAAAAAGTCGTCAAAAAAAAAAACGAACAGCAGTAGCGGCGGCTTCACGGAGGCGTTCGAGGCCAAGTACGGCAAGAGGTGAGCGAGTTACATCTAAGCGTTGTGAGTATGGCGGCGGGGGGGGTTGCAAACCGCGGTGGTTTTGTGGCCGATACATCCATTGTTGGATGTATGCGCGCTTGTCCTGAATACTGCTGTGTCGCAAGCGAAGCGACTACAACGAATTTCGGCCTTCATCTCTCGGGAGCACAACAACGAGTATATTATTACATTCAGCGACACCGTCGATCTTCTCCCCTGTCGTCAACCCCGGTCCCTCCCTCCGCCTGGGCATGTGCACGTTGGTGGACAATTTCCTCACACGCAGACTTGATGCTCTCTTGTCCTTTTATCACCCGTGGCGCCTTTACCTCGGCCCTCCGGCTCGGAATGAAGACACCCCAAATTCAACGAGAAATCGTTCGGCGACGCAACGGAGACCGCGTGGGGGCGCAACCGGCTGTGCTTGGTCTACATCGCGGCCGAGAAAGGAAGCGGCGGCAAGGCGGCCAAGGTCGACGACGCCATCTGCAAGGCCCTCGCAGACCCCGAGGTGAGAGAGGTGGAGTGCGCCGACGGTCGGGTGCCGTACAACGTTCGTTTCGTGTGCGACTACTGTTTCGCCAGGCAACATGCAGCACCCGAGTGTGTGTAGGCTTATACCGTACATGTACAAGGTTTTGGGCGCTGCGCGCCCCCGCTTTATTTGAAGCGATTCCAAGGCAATGTTTTCTCTGAAAGTGGGTGTAGGATGTTGTTAAAATGAAGGTAGGCACCGATGGCAGTTAAAATTTCCGTGAAGGTGGAGTTCCCATGATGGAGGTTCGTGTGTGATTTAAGGAGATGTAAAGGTCCATTATTTGTTTCCCATCGCCGTGCCCAGTACCCCTCCATTGTCTGATACACATCCAGAACTCAGAACTGCAAAAAATAGACAAAATTGTCGGCTGAACTGCGAATGAAGAAAGACAGCACTACCAATTTAACGCACTACTTGAACTGCAAAAAAAGAATAAAGACAGCACGAAGAATTGGACGCACTACTTGAATTCTGAACAAATGAAGTCATAGAGTAGCTACAGAGGAGTGGGAGGAGTGGGCCGGGGTAGCAATCGAGAGTGGAGGTAGAAAGGAGTGTAATTTCGAAGACAACGTGGATAAACAAACACACACACATTATGAGAGGAGAGAGAGAGAATACGGTACCAAGGTGATAGGAGGTGAGTGCATACCGTGTGAAGGTATTAGAAGAAAAAAAAAATGTACATACCTTGTGAAGGTGTTAGAAGAAGAAGAAAAAATGTACAGCAGTAGCACACGGAATCGGAACAAACAACAGACCATTCCGACGCGAGAGCGGTCAAGAGAGAAGGCAAAAATGAAAAGAGAATGTGGATAGACAGACCGTCAAAGACATAGAGAGACGGAGGAACGGAGGAGAAGGAGGCACACACAGAGAGGGCCGTACTTCGAGTGGAATGCGTGGTATGATGGTACAGAGCGGGGTGACAGCAGCAGGCGAGGGAGATAAAAGTGGAATGTCCACCAAAATGCCAAATTTCCAGAGGAAATACTGCTCTGTGAGAGCCCGAGAAGACCGGAATAGAGCGCTCACAGAAGCCGAAAGAAGCAAAATGAAGCGTTCTCAGAGAGAACTTAAATTGTAAGAAGGCTATACGACACAAGATAACACACCCCACGGACTGATTTTCAAAGCTCAGTTGCTCCACGACAAAGAGGACGCATAAACGAAACGATACGATACGTTTTCGGAAAGCTCTCGACAAGGCGGCTTCAACGCCGCCGTTTTCGGCGCTGGTCCAGGGGGTGTGTTATCTTGTGTCGTACACGGTATGTCATGAATAGCTGCTGGTCCATCTTTTGGCTAGACGGACTTGTTGATCCCCATGGTGCTTGCTCTACGGTGTCACAGAAATTGGCAGCATGAGCACGTCTGCCGCTCCAAGTACCGTTCACATAGGAGTATTGACATGAGTGCCGTCTATCTCGTACGGCCCTCACGATACACGTGAGGGCCGGCCGCGCTTGACGCATCGCACCCGATGGAAGGGTGTGTTTGTTTCTACTCGAAGCCGTAGCCGTTGCTCCTCTATCTGCATTTCCCCGACTCTATACCACTCACTCCCATAACCCCCCGCACCCACTTGCACTCGCTCACGTTCCAACCATTGAGCAATCGATCACACATACCCTCTTCTCTGTTGCCACACCCCCATCCTCCCGCCAATGTAAATGTACACCGCGCCAGGTAGCCGAGTTCATCGACTCGAGCTTCGTCATGTGGGTCCCTGGGGGGAAGAGCTCCACCCAACGTGCGGCGGCTTCAGCGGCGGCGGCTAAGCGCGTAGGTGCGCGGTCCTTGCCCTTCCTCGGGGTGGTGAACACCGCTTCGGAAACCGACAAGATGACCCTGGAGAGGAAGCTCGAGCGGTCGACGGTGGCGATGCACCACTGCAACCCCCCACCCTCGGCGAGCCAGGTACGGCGTGAATTCTGCCGGCGGCATGTCCTTAAAGTAAAGTGACAGCTTGTTTTTTTTTTTGTGCATGATGGAACGCTCGTGTGAAACGGCAAGATGAGGTTGCTGGATGCTCTGGTCCCATGGGGTGAAAGATAAGGACCTACTGTCAACCTCCGGCGGGGGGGGGCAGAGGGGGTTATACTTCTCCCGCTGCGTGTTGATCTCATTTTGTACACTGGGTTGGTCCGCTAGGACATATGAACGACAGCAGATGATGGACATATTTGAACTTCGTACAGACTTCGTTGTTTTCAGGTGCGCAGGCTTGACCAGTGCTAGATCATCATCCCCTTGGCAATACAGTAGACGTGTGTCATACTTTGCTGCTACAGCACGTACTGTGGGTAATGGATCGAGGTCAGCTTGCCAAGCTTGAAGTACGGAGGTTGAAATACCTTTTTTCGCCTGTTTTTCTTTCATAGTCGAGGTTTTTTGTGTCTGTTCGAGACAAGAAAATCAAATTTCGCCACCCATGGCTTTCGGGCACCGCTGTCTCCGCCGTAACTCTTGTTTTTTTTGCAGATGGTGAGCTGGATGGCTCGCGTACTGGAGCTCAAGAAGAGCCTGCTAGAAGTCGAGCTCGCGGAGCAACAGTAAGTCACCAACTTCTTCCGTTTGAACATTGTCGATATGTTTCGCCGTTGTTGAGTTGCTGAGCAGCAGCACGTCTTGCGTATGCCTCCGCCCCCCCGTCGCGCGCGGCACCTTCTGAAATTGCCGAGGTACACCGTCTTTACCTCAACCTGTTGGCATTGCTCCGCTGTAGCCCTGTCCTGTAGGGCTTGGACGTCAAAAGGGTGCGATTGTGTTGAAAATCTCACCTCTTCCATACGATCACCTTAAGCTGTGCGGGACTGTAGTCGGAGCACGGGCGAAGGTTGTTGCTGCTTTCCGTTGTTCTTCCTTCGCGCGCACTCCGTGCAGCCAGAATCCACACCGGCCGATTGCCACACCCTATGTAATCGCACGCGACCGGACCCGATCGCACACTGAACAGAAGGGCACAAGACTCGGCACACAGCAGCAATCTGACATGATGTCGTTGCAAAACATATGATGACGATAAATTATCATAAATAAGGCACCAGCACATGGCTACCTCCACATACCATAACGCGATCGCCCCCGTCGCCATTTTCCCTTGACCTCCCCGCCCCCCGCTGCACTTTCCCTCACTCACCACGGGCGTCCAAACCTCAACCAAAACGTGAAAACGCATGGGACATCAGACGATTGAAAGACGAAGACACCATTTACACGGAGCGAGTAGAAGGGTACTCCAAGTCTCTCAAGGACGACGCGCTGCGGGAGGTGAGGGAGAGGGAGGAGGAGGCCGAGCGGGCAAGGCTGGCGGAGGAGCAGAGGGTGGCGCAAGAGGCCCTTGAGGCGAAGCTTCGGGAGGACGTGGAACGGTGCGTACAGAAACGAGTTTTTGCCACTTCACGTGGAAGAGATAAGGAGGGAGAAAACGTTCGGGGTTGGGCGTCCGTGGCCTCGAGGGGTACTTGTTTAGGTTCCCAGGTCTTTGGACGTACTGCTGCTCAAGTACCACTTTGCGTGGGGTGGTTCAGTGATATCGCCGCGGAGCAGACGCATTCACAAACTCTCACCACCCATGCAAATGCGAAAACCTGCTTGACTGTGCCGCCAAGGAGGGCCGCGCGGGCCGCGGTCCCTTCAAAGCAGTAGCCGACGTAGCCCCGAGGGCTCAGGTAGGCGCAACGCCCCCCTTTGTTCCCCCGAACCTCGAGAACTTCCACCACTGCCATCAGTGTCTCTCGCCTGCCTACCCATGACACTCTTATGACTTCGTTCTTTTTTTGTTGTTGTGAATACTGTGCTGCTTTTACTGCCGGACACCCAAATCGCCCAGACGAGAAAAGAAGGCGGCGGAGCTGGGGCAAGAGCCGCCAGAGTCAGCCGTGAAGGGGGCTGAGGCCACGGCGGCGACGCTCATGCTGCGGCTCGCGGACGGTTCGCGGATCCGGCGACGGTTCTTGAGATCGGACCCCATGGGGAAGGTGCTCGACTGGGCGGACGTGCAGGGGGTGGACCTAGACGCGCAGAGGTTATCCTCCACGATGCCAAAGGTGAGAGCCACGCTGCTTTTTTAGCGCTGATACCACGTTCAGGAAGTTCGTCTTACGCTTCGTTGTCGTTGTTGTTGTTGCTGCTGAGAGCAGACCCGTTGTGTCATCAAAGTGACTAGCTGGCGTGCGGTGTGGCATCGTCTGGGGTAACTTTTCTTTGTTGTTGTGGACGCGCGATTGCCTGGGTATGCCAAAAGCCGCCCAGCCGTCTCTACGCGTATGGCTCGGAAAAATACCGACGGGATGGAAAGACGGGTTTCAATGCAACCATTCGGGCTGTGCGTGTACGTGAAGATCACTGCTCGTTCAGAATTTGTGTCCTGAACACGAATCTCAACAAGGATGCATGAAGCACCGCTAGGGTAGGTTCCGCACCACTCCGCCCGGCAACCGCCGGACTGCCTGCAAATAGTAGACTGATACAATACCGGCGGTGGGGGTATCCACTGTGCTCTCCTGTCCGGGTCTACTTCCACAAGGGTGCAAATTATGCGGGTTCATCCCAGTTGATGCGCTGTCGTGGCCGATTTTCAGACCTGTGCACTCGTATGCGACGGTTTGGGTGCTTCGATGACCACATGGGATATTGCTCGCTCGTTATCTGTGGCCAGGCGTCTTTCTCTCACCCCGGTGACTCGGGAATGACGATCGAGGAAGCCGGCCTCGGAAGGCAAGCGCTGCTGTTCGTGGAGCAGAAGCCTAAGGAGGCCACGGGCGATTCCGATGGGACTGTGGACGACACGGAAGCGGCAGCAGCAGCTGGCGACGAGGACGCTGAGCAAGAGTCATAGCCACCTTGATTTAGGAGTTAGGATTGACAAGCAGCGGGCGGTATTTCCAACGGGGAAGATACGTCGCCACCATTTGGGCGGATCGAACAATTAGTCCATTGGTTGGAGCCTTCCATCTTTTAAGGAGACTTTTTTCTTGTCTCCGTCCCTGATGCGAGAGGACACTCGCGTCTAGGCGTCGTCTGGTCGTGACAGACAAAGTAGGTTGGTCGCCGTGTAAGCGTCGTGGCCACTGTGTCGTTTTCGGCTGGCCTGCATCGTGCAGAGCGGAAGACTTGGTTGGCCTGGAATGTTTGAAGAGGCCGGGTTTTGCGTAGTGGCGTGGGTACTTGGTAGGGCAGGAGTTGCGCGTTTTTCTGGGACAATATCGGACATTCAACGCTATAGTACGCGCATCGCGGCGGGCGCTCGTGATTGTATGGTGTAGAAAATTTCGTTTGCGATCGGCGCTTTGAAATGACATGTGTCAGGCTTGCCGGGAGAATGCGCTTGATCCTGAATCTTGGAAGCACCCGCCACATACGCGATTATTTTTTCTGAGCTTCTCGGCGTTTCTCGCCGCGTGAGAGAGGGCTGGCCGCCCTGCTGGGCCAATGAACGAACTCGAGAAAAAATGCCTCATCCATGCGTGAACGACTTCTTTCGATTGATTGATCACGGACGGTGTGTGCACCATTCCCCGATCCCAGCAGTCATCGTAATCCCTTGCCCCCCACGGCTGCGGAAATACCAACCGGTACCAATAACGGTGACATGGGCGGCAAAACGTGTACGTTGATCTATTGTTGGATCAATCGTGATGACGCGGCCGGTTTTCCGATCAATAGGCGCGCTCCAGGTAACCTTCTGCTCAATACTTAGCGATGGGCTCGCATGAGGCAGAGGCCACTGTGCAAGCCCCCACTAGAAAAAACAGTTCGTCGGATATGCGGAGGTCGCCCATCAAGACCGGCGGATCGGAGCCCAAACGGGAACTTGCATATATCCCATCCGCTTCTCTTCAATCATCGGCACCAACAGGTCATCTTCATCGTGCGTTGTTATCCCGTCGAAGACCACCACACCGATAAGCCACTCCACTTCTGCACGGGTAACACGACTGAGGGTGGCTTCTTCAAAAGCAAAAGAGCGACCACGCACACAAGAAACGTTTTTCCTCTCATTCCTCATCCGAGTCAGAATCTGAGTCTTCCTCGTCATCTTCGTGGTCCACCCGCAGCCGCATCATAGCCGCCCTGTTGTTGTTAACGAACAAATCACTCATGTCATCCTCCTCCTCCTCCTCTTCATCCTCGTCACCCTCTTGTTCACCACGCCCTGCCCCGCTCGGGACCTCTCCTGCCCCATCCCCACCAACCTTGACACCGGAACCGACTTCCTTTTCTGCGGTCGCTGCCGTTGCCGCGACCTCCCCCCCACCATTGCCTTTTTCTTCTATCGCGGCGGCACCCATCCCTTTACTACCACCGCTATCGCTGCTCCCGCCGCCGTCGGCGACCGCGTCACCCCAGCCGTCTCTAGGGCCGCTCGACCCCGCCCCCGCAGCAAGCAGAGCCCCGCCGAAAGCATCGTCCGCCGGCCAGAGCTCCCGTTTCTTGAGGTGCTTTATTTGGTCCTTGTTGAGGATGTGTTCCACGCGATGTCTCACCTGCGGCAATTGTGGCGTGGACGCAAGCAGCAGCGGCGCAGAAAACAGTAAGGCAACACGAGCCAAAGGAGCGCATACTGCGCCAAATCAGATGCACACGGTACAATCACAGTTCTGTTTCGCCTGCTTCTTTCGTAGGGTGTTGACTCTGGACAAATTCGGGCGCAGGGTTCATACTCGTGAAGCAAACCATCAAAAACAGGTGGCGTTGTTGCTATAATAGTAACCATTGCTCTCATGTCCTGCACTCGGTTGGTGGTCGCCCGTATTCTACCACGGATTCTCCGTTGGGAGGCACACGGGTCCGTTTGATACCATCAACTCGGCAAAAAAGTACCCGAACAAAAACCCTCGACGCGGACCAACGCCGCCGCCTATTGCCGTACCATACACATACAACGCTGCTTCACGCTATTTAGCACCCAACAATTTTGTTGATGCCTGAAAACACCACAACAACAACCCCTTGAGCAGTCACACTTGGCGCAGGTAGAAACGGTTAGGGAGGCAGGGGGTGTTAGCACTCACTTTCCCCGTCTCCCCTGCGCTTGTTTCGAAGTCCCCCGCCGAGGTGGAAGTGATGAGGTAGTCCCCCCGCTTCACCCAGATCAGCTTGCGGAATCTCGTGGGGAGGAGCGCCAGCGATGGTTCTCCATTGGCCAGCATGATCTGACAGGTCGTTGGCCCGGCCGGTGGGGAGCGGGGGCGGGAGGCGGTGAGGTTGTACGTGTTTCCGGGCCACTGAAGGCAAGGTGAGTTAACACACCGCTGCCAACGCCATGCACTAGACACTACAAGTACAACTGCTGTAGTCCAATGCTCCGTTTCGCATGTAACGTGCATTGGCGGGGCTTTTCCCTTGACATGCAGTGACACAATCAGCGGTGTTCAGAAGGGGGCCAGTGGTGGTAACAACTTCCCATGCTACTGTCGTCAAGAACATTGTACCACACACACCCGCCAACTTCTCTCTTTCGTAGATACAGCAAACTCGCGTCATGTTCAGAATATCAATATATTGCCCACGATGTACCAACGTACGTTTACTGCTATCATACAATGGTACCTCGGAGTTGAGACACTCAGCCCCTCCCCCCCCCCAACAAATGTAAGAACGTAGGCGTTCAGGCAACAGCCCTATGTACACTAAAACTAGTATACCAGTAGCCGGTATTGGGCTACCCCGAAGAAATAAAGAGAAATGAGCCGCGGACTAAGTGAGAAGACAGCGCGTACCGCCGTCACCATGAAACATGACTCTACATACACGCACATTGGAGGCACAAGCATGGTTCTATTGTAAGAAGCAACCAACCTCGATAATGTTCGAGCCTCGGGGAGCTTGCGCCAGCACGATCTCCTCGTTCTCGCCCGGCTCGGGTGTGCTGTTGAGATAGTCGTCCGTGACCGATTTGCGGTAGAGCGTCCTTCGCCCGACCCCCGCCATACCGCCGAACCGTTCTGAATCCGATCACCAGCTGTCGGCGTGCGGAACGCTTCGAAGCACCGTGGTTGCTGCGAGCGGAGCGCCCTGACTGGCTGAGTCCGTAAGAGCCGAAGACTCAACCGTACGAGAGGCTTCTCGCGCGAGATAAGCCGGCCCGGAACTGGTGGGTGCCACTGACGCGTTTCCTATGCCTCTTGCGTCTGTGTGTCGGCAAGAGGCACACCGCACCAACACAAAGCGTCAAGGTGCAGCCGGGGCGTGGCAGCTTGAGAATGTGTTCATTAGCACACATTTTCGCGAATATGTCTCAAACGTAGGTAGTTATTTTTATTTAACTTGCTCCCTGTGGCTTTGGAGCATGGTCAGTTGGCTGCGGGTCCGAGGACGATGTGTGTGCGCACGGCATTCGTCTAATGGCGCTCCAACTACAGCAGCAGCAGCACTGTATATAGAGCCAGCAGACGACCGGCTGCCTGGTGTAAGATCATGTTTCCACTAAACGCTGTACATATCGTCTGCATTGTTGAGCGTACCATTGCGACAAGAAGCAGCAAGGTACTAAGCAAACGGCCCGAGAAGGACGCACGAGAACCCTGTCCCGCAACCAAGATGCTGTTCCCCCCCAGCTCTTGTACTTGTCGGCAGTACCAACTCCCCACATAGACGCGCGCGAGTGGTGCCCCCGGAGGAGGGGCATTATTTGCGGGACTTGAACAACAAGCGAGAGACTGCCGCTCTCAACATCATATCTCACCGACACTGAAAGATGATGACGGTATTGCTCGAGACGATGTAGAGGCGAAGGCCGTTCGAGCCAGGGAGCTAATCAAGCGTGTGCGCGACCCCCAGACGGCAACGCACAGCAAGCACACAGACGGGACGGGGCTTACAGAAGGTACCCCGTCAACTGTCCGCGTTACATACGAATCTACGGAACCCCTCTTGCTGGCTGTGACTGTTGAGCTGCCAGCATCCGCCGTACCCACACAGACGCCCTCTCCCCACTACTGCTGTGGTGCACCAAACCGAATAGCACAACGCGGAGGCAACCACATTCAATATTGAGTCCGTCGCTACTGGCCTCATCTCCCTTTGAAGATTGACGTTTTGCCCCTTTTACTCGCCAAACATGACCATGATTCGCGGCTTGGTCGGCCTGTCCTTCATCTGCACCGCAGCAGGCTTCGCCGGCCCCATCTCCACACGATCGCGTGCCACCGGGAGCAGCAGTAGCAGCACCTCGTTCAAGTCGTCGGCAAGACAGCAAGGACCACAGCTCATGAAGGGGTGGCGTTCTTCCAGGCAGCGCACAACGACGTGCATGACAGCACAGCAAGAGGGAGATGCATCGGAGGCGGCCCCAGCTGCGCCGGCGCCCAGGCTGAAGAGGGTGCGGAGGCGACGGAAGGACGGCGGGACTTCGGTAGCGGTAGCAGGAGAGGATGAGGGGAAGGCGTCGACTTCTGTGGTTGAGGAGCAGGCACCACCGCCGGCATCACCTCCTGTTGCTGCTGCATCGCAGGTGGTCTCGCCGCCTCCGGCTGCGGTTGCCCCGCCGGCCGTTCCTGTTGCCGCAGAGCAGGTACAGCAGCAGCAGCGGGCTGCTGCTGTGGAGGAGGAGGCCCCTCGTTCCGTTGGAGGGACTAAGGGGACAAAGGTAAGAGGCCTTCATGCCTTGGACTGCTGCTGCTGCTGCTGCTGCTGCTGCTGCTGCCTGTGGGGTAGGTGGCCCACCTCTCTCTCTCTCTCTCTGCTGAGGAACTGCATTCTGTTGATGAGTCGTGGAGCCGGAACAAAATGTACTTCAACTTCATCATGCACACAACTGCTACCTACACGTGCACGCACAGGCCTTTCACATTTCTGCAACAGGTCACGCTATTGCTTAATTGTAAACAGCGTGCGTTCGTCGGCCTGGGTGTGCTCGAAACCAGGCTGCTCATAATGTGCCCCGCTTGAAAGCCGGGGTGCCTTGTATGTATGCATACGAAAAATGCGCGGCGTTGTAAACAGTATATGTACCTGTTCGCCAGGCGTCGGTCCATTCCCTCTGAATACTGAATGTTCCCCGCCGCGGTACGCTTCAACCCCTTGTTTGGGTTGAGACGCCGTACAACCCACAACACGCGCGCAAGTAGAACTACCCCCGCTGACCCAACACGTCGCGCCTTTATTGTAAGTATATACTATCGATTAAGAAAAACATCATCTTCCACAATATGTTGTAGGTGCGCGTGGTGGACAGCTCCGACGACGACATGTCCGAAAAGCTCGCGGGAGTCGCTTCCGCCGCCTCGGGGGCCGCGGGAGGCGCCGCCTCGGCCGTGGGCGGCGCCGCCAAGTCCGCGATGGGCGCCGCGATGTCGATGCTGGGCCAAGGCGGCGCGCCCGCGGCCGACGAGTTCGACATCGACAGCATGCCGGCGCCGGGCGAGCGGGGCCAGGCGCGGCGGGCGGGGAAGCGGACGACCCCCGGCAAGACGGCGTCGGAGCTGGCGGACCTCGGCGCGGACATCGAGCGCTTCCGCCGGGCGGAGAACCGGCAGCCGGAGACCGCGGGGGAGTCGATCGCCTCGGGCGCCAAGGACATCATCTCCACCATCATCAGCATCGACTTCTTCGTCGTGATCGCCTTCATGCTCTGGTTCATCGCCGGGGTCGTGTCCTCCTATGGCTTCAGCAACACCTTCCTGCTCGACCAGTTCAACGACAAGTGGACTCCGGTCGTGCAGCCGGCGCTCGGGGTGCTGATGGGAGGCACCATCGCGGGCGGGGTAGTGTCCAAGCTCGGTGGGTCGGGGAACGACGAGGACGACAACCGTCCATAGTGAACGGGTCCCGCACCAGTTGGGGGATGTGATGGAAAGGGGTCGAGGATTGGGATCTCTTTTTTGCTCGACGTGGTTCGTTGGCCGAGAGGCAGTTTGATGCAGAAAGTAGAACTTACATGTTGTGCTGCATGGCAGGGCTTCTTGTTGCTCGACGGAACCGCGGGACTTGGTTCGGAAGAACCAGAGGCAACCCTAGACTGTTACGGTAGGTTTCGTTTGGTCGGGCCCTAACCCACTGACTGTAAACGCACCTATGCGTGAGGCGGAATCGCTATCTGACACCTGCAGGCCGGCGTAGGGGGGGTCTATTTCGTATTTCACATCGAAGGAAGGCCAAAAATGAAATGGGTCTTTGCCGTTCTCCTAACAAAAAATACTAAATACTAGCTTTCCCAAATATTCCTTGGTTTGATTGCAAGCTGGGCCACGTGGTCCGTTCGCCCCCGACAACAGTCCGTGTTTGCCCAGCGAGCTCGAGTTTTCATGGCAGGGCGCTGAAATTCCGCTGTACTGACTTGGTGTGCCGTGCGGCGGCTTTTGCAGTTGGTGAAGGTGGCAGCGGATGGGTATGGTTCTCCCAGCCTCTTGAAAATGTATCTTCGAATATGGCGACATGTTACCTAGAAGCCATCCGCCTCGGACATTGTGGTTCGGCTGGGCTCATGGTGGTGCAGCAGCCATCGTTCAGCGCAAACGGCGCGGCTTCATGCATCGAACGATAGGAAATGAGCCTCGGCGACGTGCTCGTAGTCGCACAAATCTACATCGGGTGAGGGATGGTGCGGTCTATGGCATGTGTCTCCGAAAAAACACAACCGCCTTCGCGTACTTGTGACTGTCCAGAAGGTAATGATTGGCCCAAGGACTCGGTGTGTTGGACTCTTCGAAAGCGAAACCAAAAGTAAAAATTGGCCAATCAGGAAGCTGCGGGCATCTGCAGTTGTTTTCAAGTACCTCTAAGGCAGTGCTGCTCGTGTTCGGGCGCCTCCGTGTTTTCTCTCTGAACAGCAGCGTGCACTCTACGCCAAAGCATGATATTGGTGGACACGTTGAGGCTTATGATGCTACCCCCCTTCCCCCCCCTCCAAGCTATGATGTTTTTTCACGCGCACTGCGTTCTTGAAAATGGATGGCTTTCTAGTTGTCACGCTCATTTTCTTCTGTAAAGCGTTCACCCCAGGAATGTGCGACCGCTCCTTGCGGGTGCTCAGGGGTCGCCCAGAATCTTCCCTGTCCCCGCACCGTCCTGCGGTTGCATGTGTTTGCGGTCACCATTCGAGCAAACCAGGATACACAAGAAACATTGCAGAGCTGACCACTGACATCGCTTTTTCGACCACGTGGTATTTCGCTATGTAAGCACACGTCTGTTGGATCCTAGCGAACACTCCTGCGTCACTAGTAGCTCCGCCTTACATGCAGTTCCGCTAAGATCATCGACCGTTCGGGTGCAAACCGAGGTTGGAGATTGCTACGTAGTCAGAGAAAGCGTACAGAGCGGATCGTAAGGAACACGTGTATTTCCACCTTAGCTTGCACGCGGCAACGTGACCAGGCGTCGAAATGATATCTTCGAAATACGTCCTGGCCTTCTATTGCAACAACGTCGCCCGTGTGTGGCATCGCAAGCTCATCCGCGAAAAATATCAAGCGAGACTCCGGGGAGAGTCGGCGGCAGCAGCCTACAAAACATGTACACCTTCCCTCATAATATTCTCTAAGGGTGATCCAGTTATTGACTAACTGTAGAGACCGCCACGGACGGATTGTATCGCCACAGGCATACTTACAAACACAAAATCCCATTGTTCCCCCCCGCAGTCTTCAACCAGAAACGGGCTTTGCACGGCACACACAGAGGACAAGCACTACCCGTCTTGCCGGCAGCGGACAAGCGCTAGCCTTCTCGCCGGCAGCGGGAAAACAAAAAAAATATATTCAACCGCGCCACGTCGCTACGCAATTCCACCAAGTCAAACTATACATTTTCTACAAACTGCCCGATGCAACACCGAAGATAGGCTGGCCGACCTTCGAAACACGCGGGGACAGAGGGAGGTCTGGTCGTTTCCGTCTCCCGCGCTATCTACATAGCCGACAAGATCATCAAGGCTTAGCAGTTATCTACATAAACGTGTGTACATACACCAAAAGCACCCTATCACCTATCGCGGGGTTACAATCTCTTCGCATGAACATCACATCGCATCGCATCGCGCTCTGCTACTGCACGCGGAGGTAGTGGGACCAGGAGCTCGCGACCACCTTGGGTCTGCTGAGCGGCTTGATCACGCACACTCTTCCCCCGCCCACCTCTGCCGCAAGCCACTCGTTGCTATTTCTGCGGTTCGCCAGCGGCACGAACTCCGGCGGAGGTCCCGACTCGCCGCGGAAGCAGGCCTCCTCCAGCATGAGATCCACGGATTCCGCCAGCGACAGGAGCTCGAATCCGCCGATGACGCCCTGCGCGGGAGGAGGTGGAGGAAGGCGCGGGATGTCAGGGCCGATGCGAAGCAGAGGGGAAAGGGGCAGCAGGGGTGGCATGGGCAGCGACCGGCGGCGGCCAGACGCCCCTATAAAACAAGGCCTATCGCTGCTGGGGAAATCTGTGTTTCCCTGTTACTGTTCATAGGCTTGCGATACATCTCTTCGCAAGTCACCCTCTCAATGACGGATGCGGAGGGGTCGCGGGATCAACACAAGGACATACGAACAACGGTGTTGGGCAGCCACATCCTGTTCAATGCTTCCACTCTTTGTGTGCAGAATTGCTCTGTCCGAAACTGATGTAAAAAAAGAGTAAATAGTGATCCATAATATGCATAGGCCTTGTTGGACAGCAAAAGAAAGTGGCCTTAGAGCATACGTAAATGCACACGCCTTCGATACGTTGAGATCAGGACACGGGAAGCAACCGGTAGGATAGAGAACTGATGCACCAAAATCTGCAGCGAACAAATAAGTCACGACGACAACGACACTCAAGAGGCCTAGACAAGACTTAGACTTTGTAGACAACTGCGCACCTCCGAGCGCAGCCAGCCAGAGCGCGCCTGGCCGTCGAACAGGAGGAAAGAAGCCCTGGCTTCGTCCGGGAACAAGACGCCTGTCCGCTGCTCGGCGTTCATCGTGTCGGCCAGCGTCGCGCCGGGGTTGAAAACGCTCGACGGGGAACGCGCGAAACGGCGGAGGTCCTTTTCGCGAGAAGAGATCGAGAGAGAGAAAGAGATCGGGGAGGGGGGTAAGTCGGAGTTCACCGCCTAGACTATTGGGCGAAGAACATGCCAGTGATGACATTTGTGGCCGGTGCGAAACCTGGCCCGCCGTGTAGCGGAGAGCGGCGACTGGTGTACAAAGATGTGCTCCGTTCGATGTTCAACTCAACATATTTTGGCGTGCGTGTGTTTGCCACACGGATCATCGCCATGCCTCAGCAGAACCAGGCTTGCGCCACGATGGCACCAAGCCTTGGCCTTGCGGGACACTGTGGCGTGCGGACGTGCGGACGATCTGGTAGACAAACTATTGCCGCGAGGCGCTGACTACATGCACTTCGTCAGACATCTGCATACAAGACCAAAGGACACAGCAGTGCTTCCGCAGCAAACTCGTATGAAAACATGAACGAGGCGTATTTGCTGCCGCACCTGGAACGCTCCAGAGACACGATGCAGCGCGCGCCGCTGGCGCACGTAGACCGCCTTCCCTTGCCCATCCCCCACCCCTTTGTCAGTCCAGCACCCGGAGGACGCAACCGCTACTCGTCCCGCTCTGCAGGCCTGTTCCACCTCGAGCCAACTTTCCGGTGCAAGGTATCCCAAGAGCAAGTTGGCGGGATCTCTGTTTAGTCTGAGGAAGGAAGCGGCCGGAGAAGCGGCCTCAGAACGGGCGAGCGCGGGTAGGGTGAGCTTCAGCGTTGTTGTCGGCGTGCACTCCCCTCCTGGCAGAGCCGTCTCGATGTTCAACCTCCTGCCGTCGCGAGCTTGAACCTCCAGGACGACTCGTCTTTCTCCCATTGCAGCAGCAATTCCTCGACCCAAATGATTGTCAAATGTCGGCGTCAGAGGGTGTGGACTGTCTCCTTCAAGAATATACGTCTTGCGCGTTCAAGAGACAAGACACACAGCCGACTTCCGACAGGAGGAACCACGATGTGAACGCACGCCGATGCACTCGAGTTGGGGGGGCCGATAGCTAATATATTGGGAGTTCCCCCGTACCCCGGCTTAGATACTCCGTGCCGCGATGCCCCGGAGAGCAGCAACAGAGGGGCAAACACAGCAGATTCATCCCTTTGCTTCGTCGTGGGTTGGGTTGTTAGGTCCCTTCCTGTCACGCCGACCGTTCGCTCGCGTTTGTAGACTTTCGCTTTGCTCGTGCACTACTACTGTTTTGCAGGTGTGCTTGCGTTTTGATCCGCGGAGAGAGAGTTGTTCTCTACACAACCAACTATTCTTTGGGCGACGTTTGGGCGCGATGGAGGAGTCCTCGGTGTCCATCGACGAGGTGTCGTCGCTAACCGTACCCAAGCTCAAGGCAGAGCTCACGAGGCTGAACCAGCCTGTCGGAGGGCTCAAGAGGAAGGCTCAGCTAGTCGAAGCGCTCACCGTGAGTGCCTTGATATAGTTGGAACCTCGCGGATCCGTCAGTTTTTTGCCGTGTTTTTTCCAGTTTGTCACGCGCGGCGTGGCTGCTCGCCGCACACGCCTGTACAGCTGTCAGCGCCCACTCCAGGGCGGGGTTGGCGCGGATCCTTCGCTTGGCTTGGCACCAAGTACTAGAGAGATAGTTCCTGTTATTTTGGGGCTAGATTGCAGCGTCTACAGATTTCAACAAAGCGATTGCACTGGATTTGCAGTGTTCGTCGAAGACTACACTTGTAACCTGCAAACTCTGTAGACTAAATAAAACCATAATTTCACGGAGCTCCCGCTCCCGATCATTTGCGATCATCGCTGAGGAGACTCGCTTGTTGCATTATTGCGCGCGGATGCTCTTGGGCTGAAAGGAAGTACGGAAGGCGTTTGCATGGTGGAGGATGCCTCGACCCCTCGGCCAGAAGCAATCCTCCGATGCTGAACCCACAACAACCGGTTTTTGAGTCGCTCGCTTTGTATGCCTACCGGTTCTTGAGGCGCAACAAGCCTGGTCGGTGTAGCTCGTTTCATGCCAACCGATATTTTTCCCATTTCATCGTCGGCCGGAGACAACAAAGGAGTGCACACCTCAGCTCCCTCCTTGCTTTCCGATTTATGCCACACCCAACCTTCCCCCAGGCGTACATTGAGAAACAGCAACAAGACGGGGGCACGGAAGGAAGCGGACAGGGAAAAGAAGCCGAAAACGCCCCCGCTGCTGGCGAAACCTCCCCAACCCCCGAGGCGGCGGCGGCGGCGGTGCAGCCGCAAGAGAAAGACACAGCCGAGGAGAACCCGGAGACTGAGCCACCTGTCCAAGAGGAGCCGGTCGCTGCGGACGAGGAGGTGGCGCCGATGGACGTCGCGGCAGACAGCGGCACAGCAGAAGCGGACACACCATCGGCGCAGCAGGAAGAACCGGCGGTGGCGGGAGCTGATAACGGCAGCAGCAGCGCCGCAGCGGCGGACGAATCTGCGCAGAAAGAGGAAGGCCCGGTGGCGGCCGGTGCCCAAGTAGCTGAGCCAACCGCGGCAGACGCATCCCCGGCTGAAACTCCCACCCGCAGGGGGCGAAAGCGCTCGGCCCGTACGGACGACATCGAGGCAGCTCCGGCCGAGCAGCCCAACCCTTCCAGTGGGGGCGACGAAGGGAAAGAAGCCGGGGACAAGGCCGAGGAACAGTTGCCCAAGCGTAAGCAGTCTTTGCCGGCGTCGCCGGCTGCGAAGCGAAAGAAGGTTTCGGGCGGAGGTGTTGCTGCTGCTGCTGCTGCGGAACCGGACCCGGCTGCGGCGGTTAAGGTCAAGGGCACCGCCTCGGCGGCACCGGAAGAGATTACGCCGCCGGAGCAGCGGGAGAAGGAGCAGCAGGAGACACAGGGGAACGGAAACGGTAGCGCCAAGGCAGCGGAGGAAACGGCGGCACCCGCGGCCGACCCGATGGACGAAGAGGAACAAGCAGCGCCTTCTTCCGAGCCTGGGCGCGCTGACGCTTCCGCTCCCGAGACTGCCAGTACCACCGCCGCCGCTGAAACTGCCGGAGATCAGTCGGCTCCCGGTGACGGAGTGGAGGGTGAGGGAGACGAGGTGGTGGCGGATCCGGTGACGATTCGGGTGGATAACTTCGTGCGCCCGTTCACCGCCCAACAGGCGAAGAAGGTGGGTGGCGCGTTCGACCACTTGCGATGGGAATCGATTTTGTGCGTTGGGCTGCTTTCCGACTTTGAAAGCATGGGTGGTGCATTCAAGCGCTTGCAGTAAGAGTCGATTTGACGCGTTGGATTGCTTCCGAATTTAGCATACAGTGCCTCGATAAGGGCCAGTTTCGCCACGCTTTAAAGAGGGGGGGGTTTGGACTCGGATCAGGGAAACGTACACGCTTTGCCTGCCCGAGAACGTCGGTGAGCAGACATGGCCATGGGCTTTGGCATGCGGTGACTCCCACGGAGACCGTGGAGCGGTGGCGTTGTTGGTCAATGCTCTCCTTGGCCCTCCCGGGTGACCCCCATTGTAACTTGTTTTTCGGCACGTCGATTTGTGAGGTGAAGGCTTGAACGCTGCTTTTTGATGTTGGCACGATTCTGGCCGGCCGAAGGGGTGGTTCCGTGAGAACCGCCGACAATATCCCTTAATTTTGGGCAGAAAGTTGCATTGCACAGGAATAATTTGTGGACCGGTGCATGGTAGAACCGTGGTGTGTGTTCTGTGTTTTGAGAACATCCTCATAATGTTTTCTTGAATACTTGTCGAACGGCATGTGTATGTCGGCGTTGAAGCGACATCTTTTAGTTGTTGAACTCATGGTTTCTTTCTTCGATCCCCCTCCTTATATAACACCCTCACCCATCCCTCTCTCGTATTCTTTTGCTGTGCCTTCTGCTGGATGTTCGTGGATAACCAAACTCCTAAACCCAAACAGCTGCTGGAAGAGAAGGCCGAAGCACCCGTCATGGAAGGTGGATTCTGGATGGACGGCATCAAGACGCACTGCTACGCCACGTTCGACGGCAAGGAGGCGGCCGAGAGAGCGATGGCGGCACTGCAGGGCTTGCAGTGGCCCGCCCAGAGCTTCAAGCGGCTTGAGGCGACGCTGGGAGACATGTCGGCGGAGGAGGTGGGTGTTGGCGTGTTGCGTTTTGGGCGTTTTTTTGTTGGTGGCGAGATTCGGCCACGGCCTTCTACGGCATGCAACCGTAGAGCAGGATGAAGTTCTGTCTAGGCCGCAGACAACAATCCTGAGGCAAACTACCTCGATGTAACAGCCGGGGTACAGAGTCTGTGAAGCATCGCGGCCTTTTCGTGGTGGCAGTTGTGCAGCCATCAATGTTTATCCTCGGGTCGCCGATACCCTGGCGTCTCGGTGGAGGCTGTAGGAAATGCGGCGGGTGAACTCCTCAATGCGAAGGTTGTCTTTTAGCAATAGGATCAGGACAAGACGCCGTCCTCTCCATTCTTCGATATCTATATAGTCACCATGTTGCCCGTCTGCTTTCTTTCGCGAGCCGCTGCTGATGCTGCTGATGCTGCTATGGAGAATATTGTATTGCGGTCTTGCATAAAGCGCATGAAACAAAATAGTGTTTTGTGGATTAATGACACGAAACGGAAGTGTTCAGCAGTACACAGTCTCACGTCCCTCTTACGGCTTTGTGCATATCCTGTAGCCCTCCTTTGAAACCAGCTCACCGCCCGTCGACTCGTCTCCTTTTCTGCACTTGCCGCCATCTACGCCTCTCTCTCTCTGCCTCTCCTCTCCTACCCGATCTGGCCGAAAACGAAAAACGGACCGCCGGCCGCTCGCAATAAATAACGAACAGGCGCGAGCGCGGGATGGGTCCAAGCGCTCCAACCGACCTTTCCCCGGCATGGACCGTCCCGCCCGCGTCCTGGGACCCCGCGTCACCCCCACCGCGGAAGCGAAGAGCTCACCGGAAGGCGGCGGCCAGGCTAATGGCAGCGGCGCCCACGCCACTGACGAATCATCGGCGGTGGCCGGCGGCAGCACCGCTCGCGTGCGGGGGAGGGGATCGGTGCAGGCCCCGGGCGTTGCTGGGTCTAGGGGAGGCGTGCTGGCGGCGAACGTGGAGGCCGAGGTCGGGAGGAGCAGGGGGCAGGACCGAGGGGGGCTCCAACAGCCGCAGCAAGGGCCGGAAGAAGAGGCCGAGCCGATCATCCTGGACGACATGTTCAGGAAAACCGACGCTAAGCCTTCGCTCTACTGGCTACCGCTCTCAGAGGAAGAGGTGAGAGAGAGTTGGGGGGAAGGGGGGGGGTAGGGGCAAGGTGGGTTGTGGAGGAGGCGGGTTCCGATGCTGTCGTTGAAGAGATGGTGGGCTCGGAAAGAGAGTGGTGCGGAATGGCGAAGGTAGACCAATCTGCGGGCTGTGCTTGTCTTCCGGGTGCCTCGGCGTGTTGGTTGTATTAATATAACCTTACCTCTTGATTGTTGGCGGGACAACGGCATGCCACTGGCGAACGTCAAAGGCCATGCTGCTCGCTTCCCGCGCAGGGTGGGAGCGCGCACGGCATGTGCTACGCTGTATGCACTCTCGGCGAGAAATTCGCGCAACACATGCCCCCGGCGTCCCCGCGTTTTTCTGTGTTGCTGGAAACAAGACAGCCACTACTTTTGCACAACCGCCAATCCCCCCGCAATAGGTGGGTCTGCGGAAAAAGAAGATGGAGGAGGATGGCGTGGGCCCCCGAACAACCCCCATGCCCGCCGAGCACATCGAAGCTGCCATCAAAGGAGGAGGCGGAGGACGGGGAAGCGGCGGCGGCGGAGGTTGGGGCGGGGGCAGGAGGGGGTTCGGGGGTGGCGGCTCCGGTCCTTCGCGCGCTGGTGGGGGGTACGGTGGCGGTGGAGGGGCGGGGTACTACGGGCGAGCCGGGGGCGGGGGGAGGCGCAGATAGGCTTTTTCACTAGGCATGGTATGATCGCCGTAGCGATGGTGCGTCGCGACGGAAGTTTTTGGCGGTCTCACGGAAATATATGTAGGGGAATATAACCACAACCCATGCATGGAGGCCCTAATTGCGCGATGCGGTAGCGATTGAACGCGGCGCTCTTTCCTCCCTTGTAACGTTGAGCAAGCGAGGACGAACGGGTGTGTGCTTCCGTGTGAGGTGTGCGTAGGCAGTAAAAGAAACTTGGTGCTGATCTTGCGCGTGTTCCTAGCTCCTGCGGAATTTTCAGTTCTATCTCTTGGTGCGAAATGTGTCAAGCTTTATACACACAACAGCCGGCGCGGCACGGGACGAAAAGTGACCGGGATGGAATGGCTCCTGCAACATCGGTGGTGGTGGGATCAACACGGCACAAATGAGAAAAAATAGGGGTGCTCGGAGAGTGTGTGCCCGTAGCGTTGCAGGATTTTCTCTCCTGCGGTACTGCACGATTGCGTGAGGTGTGCTTTACTATCGTTGTAGCTGCTGCTAATGAGGAGACTCTGCGTTACCAACGTGGTGAAGGACGGGATATTGCTTTAACTAGGCGGGACGGGCAGAGATCATGTTGAGACTACCTTAGTCCAACTTTGGTCAAGAGGTGGTTGGTTTTCGGGAGGAAGGGGCGTACGACAATGTTTCATGACGTCATTGCGGTTGGACCGGGGGGTATTGGGGGTCAAGCTAACAGCAGATCAAATGGCCACGATAAGGAGCGTTACGGATTGGACAGAAGGGTTGTGTCGTAAGTATCAGGTTAGTAAGTTGTAGGGTTAAACTCGTTGCGTTGTGGAATAGACGTATGTGAAACCACGAGCAGACATGCGTTTCAATAGGTTTGCATGGGCCTCTCACCTCTCTCGGGGATGCCGGAAATTTTGTTGAACATCACGGCTGCAGCCTTGTTTTTTGCAGGATATCGGTTTGATGTAGGCATATACTACAAGCGGCGATATTAAACACATTTTGTGTACGGTCGTAGTTTAGAGTTGTTCGCACGCCCTGAGGTTGATCACCAGCCGCCAGGAGATCCTCACAGATGGGATCCTGCTGGTGAAGGCCGGTACTGACCTCGACACGGCCACACCGCCGCGATCGAAATACACTTGGTAAGGTGATTTTGAGCAGTGTGAGAATCCTGAAGGAGGACATATCGATACCGCCAGAGGAGCTACTTCAGGACCACTCGTGAAATTGTCGTTGACCAAGTGGGGGCCCATCGCGACAGAGAAATGTCGTCTATTCGATGGACCCATTTTCGGCGGTGAAACCCGGGCACCGGGAAGGTGGTACAACTGCCACTTACAATTTACGAGCTCTTGCCTGCCCGCCAGCACCTGCATGTTGTGGGCGCCATCGTCCTACCATGCAACTACATTTCGCCGGGCATCAGCATTGGTATAACAGACAACAGCGGCATGAAATCATTCCGCAGGCCCAAGAAGAGCAGGACAGCAGCAATCAGCGCTCGCTCTTTTTGAACATTGTCCCTTTTCACCATGTGGCTCCAACAAACTCCTCGCAGTTACATACATGGCAATTACGGAACACCTTATGCAAACAAAGAAAATACTTTCACATCGGCCGGACGATTTAGCCGAGGGTCCCCTCTACTCCTTCGACGGATCAGCTGTGCGAGACTCGCGCCCGCTGGATAACCGAGAACTCCAACAATAACCGGTATAAATGCCTCGCGCGGCAAACAGGGGGTGCCGAACACCGCGACCTCGTGCCCCCTCGCCAATACAGCCCGGTCAAACCTTCGCCGAATGCCTGCAACAAAAAAGCACGCGATTGCGATAAAACGTGAAATGGAACAACCAAGACGTTGAAACGGTTGCAGTGGGAGCCAGTGGAACGTGGCAAATATCAGCACCCGTCAAGGCGGGGAGAATCGTGGTGGTAATTCCGGGGCTTGTACAATACCTCCTAGAACGGCAATGCGCCAAATCACCTCGTGTGATCTAGAGTAGATATGGTTGAACCATGAAATAGGTACGATACAGCAGGTGGAGGCAACTGTAGACCACCAGCGAATCAAGAAAAAGCTCAGAACAAGAATGGTCTCCCGGGTAAGAACTTGAGACAGCTTTACGTCAAACTTTGAGCCTCAAGATGATCAAAGTGGAAGGCAATTTTGAGGCATCAGCCGGAAGAACGCAAAAGCCGTGAACGAGGGCGTGCAGATAGCCCTGCCTGTTGAGAACATGGTATTTCGGTTGCCGAGGCCAATACCATTCAAAATGATAAGATCCACCGAACACTTGCTATGCCGCGATAAGATCCTGCACTTCAACCGAATTGGACCAAGAATCCGTTGCCAAAATGGGTAAGAGTGTCGCTACTTAGATTCAGTAAACCTGTTGCATCGCTACCATGGCGCACGTCGGGGTTGAGAAAAATGGCGAAGCAGGTGCAACATGATGCATGGGGGCTCAAGAACAGCGACCCCCCCGGGAAGAGCGGAAATCCTACCAATTTGGCGGCAACAAAATGGGTTTTTCCCTCGTGATATGGTGAGGTCGTGTGACTTTTGCTCCACAATGATGTTGACGTTCGAGGTTTCAATATTGCAACATGCAGTCCTTGCTTGCTCCCAACAACATCTGCGGATGCTGTCTATGATTCACGAGGTCCAAACGCCTTCTGAGGTCTCAGCGTACGGGGCATTGCAATGTGAAGCCATACATGAAAAACAGACATACCTGGTGACAACCAACCTACGGATAAAGTCTAGTGCAGAAAACAACAACCCGCCGACGGCCACAAAATAGTCTTGTATCGAGCACCTCATCGTCTAGCAAATGAGGGCGACAACCAATTTCAGCGGGCATTGGCTGACCGAAACGAGAACTTAGCAACAGTAACAGGAGATTGTTTTCGGACATTTACGCCTCGATTCTCGAGCTAAAAAAACGACCCGTCAACGGGGGGTGAACCCACTTGCAGAACGCATCACGTCGTGCACGTTGAATGACTGCCACTCTCGTACCTTAACAACGTTGCCGCAAGCCCGCCACGTCCCTTTGTCCGTCGCTTCAGGATCGGCAACATCAGCCTAAGTGGTGGCAAAGGCGGCTCGGGGCCATTTTTCCGCAGCATGGCCGACGAAGGAAGCATCGCTTGGCCACAGCCAAGATACAGCATGGACGGCCTCCGCTCGCAACAGTAAACGACGGATAGCCTCCAGCCTTTGCAGGTGCTCCTCCGTGGCGGGTTCGCCGTTGTCCAAAATCTTCTCCCAGAGGTATGACGTTGTGAGAGCCAGAGGCGTACCGTTGCATTGCACCTCTCCCTCCGAGTTCGTGCCTCGAATGACCGATGTCGTATCCGCTCCAGCGTTAATGAGCAACCGCACGATCCTGGGAGTTTGCGACAAGCACCGCTGAATACTGAAAACCAGGGCCGTGAGGCCGCTACTGATACGGTCGTTGATGGATGCATACTCAACGCCACCTTTTTCTTCCTTGAGCCTCTGCCGCAAGAAATGCTTGAAGGATGCCTCAGCGGCACACATGAGAGCTGAGCCCGACGTATCGACCGCGCCCGCTCCGGTCAGGATCGCCAAGGTGTCCAAGTCGCGTTTCGATGCAGCGAGGAGGAGAGCTTGTTTGCCGGCGTTTTCAGGGTTACACCCTTTAATCCCAAGTTCCTGGACTAGATGGCGCACCACTCCCGAGTGCCCACTGCTGGCAGCTACGTCCAGTGGGACGCCAGGGAACCCTGACGATGACGGTGGTTGTATGCAGATACATGGTGCATCCAACGACGCGTCCGCCTTACCGCGAAGCAGCTCCCTTATCGCGTCCAAGTGTCCTTCTTCAGCCACGATGTGCAGCGCTGTCTCTCCGGTTGGCATTCGAGTGTGGGGATTCGCGCCTGCCTCGATCAATGCTCTCATCAACTCAGACTTTCCTTCGCGTGTAGCCGTATGAAGCGGTGTGCGGCCCGCAGATGTCACGGCCTCGAGGTCAGCACCAGCCTTGGTTAACAACTCCACGATGGCGACGTGTCCCTCCATAGCGCAAGCGTGCAGGGCAGTGGACCCGTCGTCAGTCACCATTGATACATCGGCTCCGTTTTCGATCAGGGTCTCCGCAACGTGCGAGTGACCCAAGAACGAGGCTAGAATTAGTGGAGTGATGCCATCATCATTGCCTTGATTGATGTCAACAGATCCCGTCTCTAGCACGGCTAGATAGAGTACGATCGATGGAGCCATCACCTACAGCATGGTGGAGTTGATTATACCCATGCCGCTCCGCGACAGGGTTCATTTGCCTCTGATGTTGTTGTGTTGCTGAATGGAACGGCGCAGCAGCGGGAGCAGTAGACAAGCCAGCAACCGCAACGCTGCCACGGTCTGTCACGCTGTGTTGCTCTAGTTCGACTTCGCCACTTTGTCTGTTGTTGCCTGTGGGCAGGGGGGTCCGGTTGAAACATGTGTGTAGTCTGGTGCATACATACCCGTCGCGGGGTAGAAAAAAATGAATCCCATCCGCGTGTCCCCGTCCATAGGAGGATATATTGAAGGATACAGCAGCACTGCTGCCCGTTCGAGACTGCTCGCAAGGCGACTACTGTATTGCTTCTGCTGTTAGCTTTGCTCGTTGGTCGCTGGAAGAGTGACAGAGAGGGAGGGGCCACGCTGCCCTCTCCTGATCTCTTCCGTTCTATATCAGGTGACAAGATACAATCGACGGCGCGAGAGTAAATATATATATACAGTATAGCCATTGCCGTTAGCCGGTCGCCCCGGTGGTCTAGTTGGTCTCCACGAACCCTTCTAGAGGTCAGGTCAGGGGTTCAAATCCCTGCGTAAACGAGCTTTTCTTGCAAAGTGAGGTTTTCCCTCGCTCCGCTCCTGGCCTAGTGGATAGCGCTAGTTGGTGTGTATTAGATAAAATTAGACCATCTGACAAGTCAACGTTGACTTGTCAGATGGTCTAATTTTATCTAATAGTGTGTACATAGAGTGCTGAAAACTCTTCTCGCATTAAAAGTCGAAGGCAACGTACCGCAGGATGGGAGGGTAGAGAGGGGCTCTTCTGTGTGACCACGGGTAGGAGTAAATGGCACAAGTGCTGTGAGCGCTGATTTGAAGGAGACAAAAACAAAAAAAATACCGTCCTGTTGTCGCAACACGATCGATCCTTGGTATATTTAGACTACTACAGTATAATGTTAATGTTGCCTACCTCATACAGCAGCAATATACCGTTTCACATGGATGGGACTCTGATAACGCCTATCGATCGATGTCCACAGCGCATATACCATCATCACAACATTGTAGCCGACCATGAGGAGGCGTAGATGCAGATATGCATACCAGACGGGAAAGTCACGAAGAAGACGGAGAAGCCATGATATTCTCATCCGATATGAGATTTACCGCACGGAGTTAAAACGAAGCGGTTCCTCATACAACCCACTCACGATCGATCGTCTCCTAGTACATGTTTATTCCTCGCCAACGTCCTCTGTCTCTCCGTTGGCACACACTGCGCACACTCGTGTTGTCCTCGCGTTTTTTTTGTTGCGAGCCCCGCTGCGATCTCTCCGACCCCTTTACGGAAATGTTATAAATTTCGTTTAGCTTTTTCAAGGCACCCCGGTGCGATCTCTCCGACCGGTGCGTTGCGCAATGAAATACCACACACAACGGACCTACTGGTGCTCAGCAGTGTAGTTGTTGTGAGCACGCACCCCGGTACCATATCCCCGATCGGTGTCATCTCTCCGCCTAATGTGTCGGTACCGTTGTTGTTGACCGGGATCAACCGGAAACGGCAACGTAGGCTGGTATCTAACAGATTCCCATGCAGCGATTGGTCATAATGGGTTTGAATGCGAGCTTGGCTATGGCACTATGGCATGACAAAAGGACAAGAAACGATGTTGTTTCGATCTTGGTACCGGTACATACAGGTATCAGTCGTAGGCAGCAGTACATTAGAATTCGTCGTGTAAGGTGAGGTTCGGCTTGAATGTATGTCAAGTGCTTGGTTGGGTGCACGGTTTACAACTTTCATACAACGCAAGCGAAAACAGCTGACATCCCCCGCGTGAACCGCGACCGTACATATACACACCAAAACAAGGAGTGACGTCCCGTCCGCCGACACCGTCCCCATGTGTATAAGGTGCGCACATACATTTGCGTGGTTTCGGCCTCTCAAAAGAGCTCATTCTTGGATTGGGGATCCGCGAGATCGCACCCGGTGCGACCTCACCAACCCCAGTGCGGAAATCGAAAGAAATCATGCCGTTTTTTTTGTTTTCTTGGCGCACCCAAGTGCCATCTCCCCGACCGGCACCGTCTCTCGGCCTTTCGTGGTATGCGTACACCCTGACCGCAACATTGTTAGCATGACAACCAGCCTATCGACAACACAACAGCGGTGCTTATGGTGATGGTGGGTGATGAGCGTTTACACCCTCACGGCAACCTCGTTTGTTCGAAGGAAACCGGGCATGAACGGGGGTTGGTACTGGTAGACCAGCAACCCGCCCTTGGGTGTAAGCCCTTCGCCCTCTAGCGCCTGGAAAAGTTCTCGAGAAACTTCTGCCACCTTTTTCTATTAGATCGGTGACGCATGAAAGGGGTCCGGGTCGCGGCAAGGAGGGGAAGGAGACGGAGAAGAGTCAGGCTGCAGGGCGGCGGTGTCATTTCCACTGCTACTCGAAGAGGAGAGAAACGAGCGTACTCTCTGTCGTTATAAAGCGTTTTTCTGCCGATGGCATAGCGAATCAACGGGAACCATGGGCTGTGTTTGGCGGCATAGAGGTACGGGTGCATGTGCACCTTGTGTCGTTCTTCGTGAGTGGCACCCTCGAGCTGTATGTTCATGATCCACGCACGTTCGGTGGACACTGTCGTGTGGTAATTTCATTTGGACTGTCGGCGTTTGAAAACTATGGCATAGAAGCGCTGTTCGTGGATGGGGCCTACGAAAGCGCGACTGTGGGGGACAACCACCTGCTGGAGGGCATTCCTTGAACCGGAGAAAGACCGAGTCATACGGGATTTGATGCGGCGTTCTGCAGGCAGGTTCCACGATGAATAGCCAAACCGACCACGGCGGTGGCAACAGCAACAATCAACATCCGCAAAGCGAAGCGACGGCAGCGACCACAACGCTTTCTCGCAGGACAGAGTCGTGCTGCCTGTCGCAACACGAGCTCACCCCCAAGCCAGCAACGGGGGCGACGAGAATCAGCGTTGCATGATACTCTGCTTCTAGCTGAGCTGCCCAAGAGGGGCATACTACCCCCCCCATTTGACGGGTCCCCCCTCCCACCTCGTCGGGAGACGGACCCCGGAAGCGAACCGCCACCATACGATGTGCCCCTACGCTCTTGATCTTGACTCTGCCATCCTTGGGCTTGGGCAGAGTACCTGCTGTATACTGTTTCGTTGTTGAATGGAGAACAAAAGGGGGAGGGTGACGGGAAGGTGAAATTTGGGCATTCGAATGTGATCAAGGCAGACGGTAACGACAACAGCAGCGACAACAAGAGGAGGGAAGTGGCGCACAGCGCATCAGGCCCACAACGAAACGAGACCATTCCGAGGGGATGAGATGGGTAGCTCAGCGAGCATCGAGGTTTCACGTCGCCGACAGGAACGTTTGTCGTCGGGGCTCACAACTAGCGTTTCATGCCGCTCAAAACACCCCTCACAGCAAGACAGGATTGTTGGAAAATGTCTCAGCCCGTCTCCCCGCAACCGAAAACCGCCGCCCCGCCAACCAAGGAACCCAAACATGTTTCATGCTGCGGCCCACCTTTTTCGGCATGACGAAGGAGACTTTCATGTTCCGGAAGTTCGATTTGAGCTCCGTCCGTACGGGGCTTGTCATGGAAACGGTGGCCTTCTGTGGCTGTTCCGTCCTTACGGGCGCGGTCATGGCCACCTGCGCAGGCTCCACCTCTCCGTCCTCCGAAACACGCCCGCCCGCGTTGTCGCCGAAGATGTACCTGCAGAGAAGCGCACGGACCGGACGTACAGGTTGTCTCCTGCAAGTAACCATGGCCCCTTCCACTAAATACCTCCGCGCGTAAAGCTGATACCGTATGTGACACAAGGTACCACACCCCCCGGACTGGTTTTCAAAGCTCGATTACCAGTGGCGGTGCCGAAAATGGGGGCATTGGAACCGTCTCACCGAGAGCTTTCGGGAAAAGTGTCACATGATTTGTGGGTCCTTTTCGTCGTGGAGCAATCGAGCTTTAAAAATCGGTCCAGGGGGGGGGTGGTATCTTGTGCCATCTATGGTGCTTTGCGTGATTTCTCGCTAGAGACCGATCGGTGTCGTCATCAGTCTCCTCCCCATGTTGTACAGCAGATTTCTTTACCATCCCCTTGAAGAAAATGCAATGTTCAACACAAACAAGGTAGACATACGTACAAGCACGAGGTATTCTACCAGTCATCAGTCTCCTCCCCATGTTGTACAGCAGGTTTCTTTACCATCCCCTTGAAGGAAATGCAATGTTCAACACAAACAAGGTAGACATACGTACAAGCACGAGGTATTCTACCAGTGCTCCCTCAGAGATACTCTGGGATGCAAATGAGTGTGGCGATGAGCAATGGCGCCGAGGGTACTCAAAGACCAGAGAGGCGAGTCAACCGGCCTGTAGCGATTTGCTCACCCGGCCACGTTCATGAAGCCCTTGGTGGTGCCCTCCCTCATCGTTTCGCCGGACACGACGGACTCGGCGATGAGGTACGGCTCGTAATCCCGCACCTCTGCCGCCAATCTGCCAACGCGGACGGTCTTGGACACGGTGTAGGTCGGCCTTTCTAGCCTGCTAACGCTCACTCTGGGAGAAACGGAAAGTGTGAGAGAGGAAGAGAGGGAGTGGGGGGGTTATGGAAGAGGAGTGACACGGGGGCGGGACCATGGCGCTTGGAAATGGCCGTGAAAAATGGGCAACACAGCCTGCTAACGCTCACTCTGGGAGAAACGGAAAGGACATGTGAGAGAGGAAGAGAGGGAGTGGGGGGGTTATGGAAGAGGAGTGACACGGGGGCGGGACCATGGCGCTTGGAAATGGCCGTGAAAAAATGGGCAACACATGCCGCTCACATGCGAAGAAATTTGACTTTGGCCGTTGTGGTGTGTCGGGGTGTCGGTGTCTGTAGATATAAATGCACTGGCCGGTGATGTTGTGCATAACGCGTGTGTCGCTGTAAGCTGGCCGCTTTCTGGCGGCCAACAACAGTCTGCTTGAGGCTGCACAACCGCCGAGTATAGTCTACACGTACGTGCTGCCGACGGCGAGACTACCCGCTGTGCTGAACGAGCCACAGCCTTGCCAAGAAGGTTCCCTGTATCTCGCTGTTTTCTTCACTTCTGTGCTGCATATAGGCACACCCCACGCACTCCCCGGCCAATTGCCGTCCCGACAGTAGAGCGCACGTTCTTGATATTCCAATCTACCTCTGTGGTCAACGAGATCTACCAAGAACAAAACGTGTGCTGTCGACGTTTGGAAGTACTCACAAGAACTTTGCTGGCAAGGCCACGCAAATGGCACCCGTCAAGACTCCCGCCCACTTCAGCAGAGTCGCCTTCGACACCTCCTTCAGAGAGGAGGGGACCATGCTCCTCTCGGCGTGTAGTCGACAAGCTGCAAGCAGTTACGTGGCCATTGCACGTCTTGCATCTCGTCATCATCAGACATCTGCACGCAGTTTCGCCGACTTTTTGTTCCCCGAACGGCAATAAGCAATAAGCAAAAAGTACGTACGCATGTGCGGTGCATCCTCATGACTAATTAAACCAATCAGAGACCTGTCTACCTGGCCAGGCCAGGCCGTCACGCGGGGTCACACGCGTCATATATCGTGCGCGAACGTATCCTTTTCACCTCGCCATCCAGAGCTCTCTCTTTTTCTCTCTCTATCTCTGCCCGCCCCACCTTCTCCTGGTACCCGCCCATCTACTCAGTGCATGGCTGCTGCTATTGGTCATCACTGGCACATCGCTACTGCTGGGGGGAGGAGGGAGAGGCCACACAAACCGCCACGCTCGCGGGAGCAGGGTTAATCCACAAGCCGGCGCGGCGCTTTGCACAACGCCATGATGCAATATCTGGACATGGAGGCGCTATCGTGGCTCTGCGTGGCGTGGGGCGTGCTGGAGCTCGGTTTCCTCGCGGTGATCATGCTGTATCTGGTTCCGAGGATGAACCGCCTCGAGGCTCCCGCCAAGGTAAGGCGTCGGGGTGATCCGCTGTTCAACATGAAGCGTTGATGTTGCCAGATCCTTTTTCGTTGACCCAACCGTTCGTTCGCCTGCGTGCATGACACGCTCTCGAAGAGAAACAGCAGACTGGGTTGTGGGGCATAGCTCGCGTCGCCATGGCAACGAGGTAGGTCGTCATCATGGCTGCAAGACTGTCGTCACGAATCGATGGATTGCAGGCTACCGCCATGGTGTATGGTGTGGCATGCGCGTCGTTTTCCAACATGTCCACGGCACTGAGCGCGCGAAAAACGCGCACTTGCGTACACACACGAACCGTCCCTGTGTGTTCTTTGTTGCGTCTTTGCGTTACACGCCAGAAAATGCTGTCGATTCTGTACTCCTCACAGGTGGTTGTAGGGCTTTCGGGATATGAAGAGCGGCTCCATCCCCTGATACGAACGCCCGAAGAGTAGCACACACAACTCCGCACACATTGCGTGACACGACCAGGCTGGCTACACCAAGCCATAGTTCAAAGAAACTACAGCATATGTAGACTAAACCTTTGTAGAACGTGTGCTGTATGCATGCAAGTAGTACATCCGTCTAGATACCTAGAGAACCCGTACCCGTTCGAGCAACATGTCCCGTTCCAAGGTATTTTCTCCGCTGATTTATCCGATTTCTCCGCCGTGGCAGAGAGCCCCCCGCCTGCTGGCATCCCCTCACAAAGTCGCTGCAAGTGTTCTTTCGCCATGCGTCGAGAGATGAATGGGGCAGGCTGCTATTGGGTATCGGGGTCGTTCCTCTAACCTCATGAATTGCCCTCGCATCAATGTTTTTTTAAGGGCGCGGGGGAGATCGTAGGGGGCCCGATATAAGGCGGTGTGAATAAGGTGGTTGTCCGATTTAAGGCGGCTGAAATTGGCGCACACAACTCAGACCGATATAAGGCGGCACCGCCTTATACAGGCAATCTCCCTGTATATGGCGGTAACTACCCTAGTAAAATCCGATATAAGGCGGTGACCATCTTCGCATCACTACAAGTACGCCCCTCTCTGAAACACCTGTACCTTTGTGGCCCAAGACACCTGAAGGAGTGGTCAACACACCGCCCTGGCTTAACGGAATAATTTACAACCTGCTGTAGGCGCGCACACACTTTTTGTGTTCGGCCGCACGAAACCGTATTTTTTTACGCGGAGGAATTCGACGCGAACGAGCGCGGACACATCACTCTTTGCACACACGCCGTCGGCCCGGAGCATGCACTGAGCCAACTCTCCCAACACTTCGGCTCTCTGGAAAGGGCCGCGGGGGAGTCCGGCAATCGCGAAGCCGTTTTCCACCTTCAGAAGGCCAAAATGGCGATGATCAAAGCTCACGCGCTCAACCCGTGCGGCAGTCGGACATGAGAGAGTTCTTGTAGGCGGATAGACGGATTCTCTCAGCTGTTGTCTTTCATAGAGCAGGGTGTGCTGCAAAGAGTAAGAGTGGTCGCATTTTCAGAGGTACAAGCGCCGGGGCAAGTAGTGCTTAACCCGGCCAAGCGTCATGGACGCAGCGAATACAAATGTTATTCGGTGCCACGATTGTTTTCCAACTATTGCGTGCGTCCATGTTGGCTAGCTTAAGTTTTGTTCTTCACCGAAGAGAAGTGTTGGTTTGGACACGTTATTCGTCTGAGCCTTGTGCGGCGGTATTGTTGGATGCAGATGTACATTCTGCTGTACACTCCCGGCGGGGTCGTACGGCATCAGATGTACACGTACATACCGCTGCAAACAACACTCAAACAATTGCAAGCAATCTTGCTCGTTCTACACGCGTGAATGCATGGCGCGTGACCATTTCTTCCACTCAGCGACGCGCCGTGAGGTGATGCCCAATACGCTGAAACCTCCTTTCTTCATTTGTCATGAATAAGGCGGTCACCGCCCTATTGGGCCAATCTCAGACCGTGTATAAGGCGGTACCGCCTTATACACGTATAAGGCGGCTGCCCGATACAAGGTGGTTTCCTTCACCACGCACTACACCGCCTTATATCGAGCCCCCTACGTCCTCTGAGAATTCCAGGAAACGCCGGCCTGTCTAAGTTTTCCAAATCCTAACTCCAGTACGAAGCTACGATCGCATATTAGCCGTCCGCTGACCCAGTCATCTACGTTATAGTATTTTTTAGTGAAATATTTCATGGAAGTCCATGGATTCCATGAAACCAGTCCATGGACTTCCATGGACTTCCATGAATTGTTCCATGGAAGTCCATGAAAAAAGTGAAAAGTTTCATGGAACTCCATGGAACTCCATGACACCATGTCCATGGAACTCCATGAAATATTTCATCATGGAAGTCTATGAAACATTTCATGGACGTTCAAGAAATATTCCAGTGACGCCAACTTGGCTGATAAATGCCGACAATGAGCCTTGGCTATGTTCGACATTGATTTCCATGAAATGCGTGCATGGGCTTCATTGGACTTCCAAGAAAAAATTTACTTGGTTCCACGGAGCTCCATGGACTTCCAAGAATCTTTTCATGGAACTCCTTTCACTTCCATGAAAAGTTTCATGGAACTCCTTCGACTTCCATGAAACATGGAACTCCTTCTCCTTCGGCTTCCTTGAAACTATTTCATGGAAGTCCAACGAGTTCCATGAAACTTTTCATGGAAGTGAAAGGAGTTCCATGAAAAGATTCATGGACGTCCATGGACGTCCATGGACGTCCATGGAACTCTTCATGAAATATTTCATGGAAGTCCAAGGAGTTCCATGAAATGCCATGAAATGTATCATGAAAGTCCAAGGAGTTTCATGAAAAGTTCCATGGAGCTCCATGGACTTCCATAAAAATTGTCATGGAATTCCATGAAAAATATAAAAAAAACTTAAAAAAAACTACCATTATAATAATTGAGATGAATCACACGGCGGGCTCAAGGTGCATCTGCTCCAAGCCGAAAGAAAAGTGAGTGGTGGACGCCATCCTCCGCCCATCAGCAAAGCCGCGGGAGAAGCCAAACGGCCGGGCACAACAACCTCGCCGACGGCCTCCACCGCCAGCTCGTCGCGTTCAGCAATGAATGGGTGTCCTATCACAGCCAGCCCCGATCTGGCGAACCGTCGAATAATGGAGGGGCGGAGGAAGGCGAAAGGGAAAAACATTTCCAACCGGTACCTAGCCATTGCCGAGTGAGGTAGGTGAGGTGCGTTTCGAAACCGTTATCCAAGGGAGTGTCGTGAACACAAATTAAAGACACTCAGTTAGTTACGTAGGCCTACTGTACACTACATAATCGAAAATCGGGGTAATTTTGTTCCATTTTGGGGGGGGCGGGGACATATATATCCCCATGTATCCTCGGGTTTTCCGCCGACGCGTCGGCGCTTCGGCGTCCCGCCCTCGCATGGAACATTGGATGTTCATGGGCTTTCATGAAACATTTCATGAACGTTCATGGATGTTCATGAAATGTTTCATGGACGTCCATGGCCTTTCATGAAATGGGTGGACGTTCATGAAATATTTCATGAAAGGCCATGGACGTTCATGGGTGTTCATGAAATATTTCATGATAGCCCAGAATGTGCCATGGACGTTCATGGGCTATCATGAAATATTTCATGACCGCCCATGGGCGTCCATGAAAAGTTTTTCATGAACGTTCATGAAAGCATGTCATGAACGTCCATGAAATTGTTCCATGAAATGTTTCATGACAAAGAGTGAAATTATTTCATGGAAAGTTTCATGACAAAAATATCATGGACATCCATGTAACTTTTCACGGAATGCCGTGAAAATTTTCATGGAATTCCATGGACTTCCATGGAAGTCCATGGAAATTTCATGGAAGACCATGGAAGGAAGTCCATGGAACGGTTCCATGGAAGTCCATGGAAGCCCATGGACTTCCATGAAACTTTTCATGGAAAAGTACGAAAATGTACAAGCCCCCGCTGACCCCCCCTCGCGTACAATGTTACTTTGAAGTATAATAGTACATATCTGAGATTGTAGCCCTTGCGATACACCACAGGTTAGCGGTCCTCGATTTTCCAAGTGATGCGTCTGTCATCAAGATCGGTGAGCTACAAGCAGGAATTTCGAAGCTGCTGTGCGGTCCGATTTTTAAACGCTTCAAGTACCTTTGGTTACGGCTAGACCTGCATATGCATGACCCCAGGCATTCAAATCGACAATGGCGACGAGCTGGATAGTGAGGGAAGAGCTGCGCTGAAGTTCACGACCCCGCATACTCACATAGGCAGTGATTTGCGGTCACTGCTGTGTGCTTGAAGCGTTTCAAAATCGGACCGCACAGCAGCTTCAAAATTCCTGCTTGTAGCTCACCGATCTCGATGATGTGTAGCAGGATCGTTTGGAAAATCGGGGACCGCTAATCTGTGGTGCATCGCAAGGGCTGCATGTCAGATACTAACATTGTACCCAAGGGGGGATTCAACGGACGGTTAATTTACGATGGTAGTTTCGTACTGGAGTTAGAACTTGGACATAGATATGCGAGCGTTTCCGTGCCCTTAAGGGGGCCCAGAACAGGGGTTTTGACGCTGGCTCTTTTCTCATACTTTAATCCAACATAAGAAACAAAACAACCTTCCCGCAGAGTGTAACTGGTAATTAGTACTGTTATCAGTAGAGGACACCATGAAGAGGCTTCGTGCGTGCTGGCACGTTCAGGTTTGCTACTGGAGCTGAAATATCGAAGGTTGCAGCAATCTCTGAAAACAGTCCGAAATCCGCGCCGGAACCTAGCGGCATCCAACATTTGTCACAGCCGTGCACACCGCCACGGACCGTAAACCCCTCAACGGAGGGTTGTCCGCAGTAGCTCGTGGCATGAGCTACTGCTGTAAACGCACAGTTCAGGAGATTGGGGTCCGTGGCGGTGAGCACGGCTGTGACAAATGTTGGATGCCGCTTGGTTCCGGCGCAGATTTCGGACTGTTTTCAGAGATTGCTGCAACCTTCGATATTTCAGCTCCAGTAGCAAACCTGAACGTGCCAGCACGCACGAAGCCTCTTCATGGTGTCCTCTACTGATAACAGTACTAATTACCAGTTACATGTCAACACAGACCTTATTTGAACGCCTGCCGTTTTGGCTCTTTTGACTTGAAATTAGAATAGGGCGATATTTTATCTTGATTTCAAAGGGGGCGTGCGGAGGTAGACGTGTGAAACGTATGTTTTTAGCAGCCTCTACTGTCGCCCTGTGCGGGATCTAACGATTTCTGTTTTTTGCGATGCCTTCCGACTGGTCTTGTGTGTCTGTTGTACAGTTTCTGGTGCTCTTGCGCATGTTTTCAAAATTAGTCAACGTCGAAGTGGCTGTTCTGGGCCCCCTTAAGCCTGAGGCTGTCCGGCGTCAAGGCATCAGCTCCGCGAGTGATGTTGCGTGCGCCCGGAAGGGCGTTCATTTCATCAATGCCCCGTCATAGTCCGGATTTGACGCCAGTGGCAAATATGGTGTCATAAAATTAATAAGAATTACGTGGTCGCCCCCTTCGAGGTGTACATCCTGTACTGTTAAGAGATCGGGGTGTGAGTGGTGCAATCATGGTAGATCTCGGAGACGCGGCTTTCTGCCCTCCTTAGCGCTTGGCCACGACCGCCCCGAGAGCGAGCCGCGCACGGCGAAGCCCTCGCGGCCCAGGGCTACCGGCAGGCGCGAATCCTGCAGCGAACCGAGGTGTACGGGCGGACAAACCGCAAAAAAGGGGCTCTAGGCGAACGAGCAGGATTGCAAATGCAGCCATCTCGTGAGCTCTTAGCCCTTAGAAAATCCTTGTTAGGTCTTTAAAGGTCTATTTTATTGGATTGGTCCCATGGAACGCCTCGTTTCGTGGAGAGGATAGAGAACGCCGCATTTCGCTTCGCCATCCAGGACCAGCTTGCCAACGGCCGTTAAAGCTGGACCGTTTAGCGGCGATTCGCCGGACGGCTTTTCAGCAAGGCTCGAGTCGCCAACGAGCTGAAAAGCCGTTCGGCGAATCGCCGCTGTTGGCACCACCGGCACATCCACCACCGACGCTGCTGCGAGAGTCTCCAGGGTTAGTTTTTTCGTGGCGGGTGAGGTGCTCAGAACCCGGTGCGAGCCATGCGCGAGTCGTGGTGGTTGAAGGAAAGAAGAAGGAAGAGCGCAATGCGTGTGCCCGGAAGAACATTCGTTTCATCTGCCAAAGTACCCCGTTATAATCCCGATTTGCCGACGATAGCAGTCGTCTGCGAAGCGCCCTCGTTTACTAATCAATCTCGGCCTCCTTTTGCGGCGGTCCAGTAGGTCGCTTTATTCGCAGCATGCACGCATCCTTGCCTCGCTGGCTCCGTTCACAAGTAGCCCGCCAACGCACCGACGACATGAACGCCCGCGGTGGCTTGGACCTCTTGTCTGAAACCTGTCCTTGGTGTCCCATCACTTAAAACAGCAGTTGCGAAAATTTCGGCCTCTTCGTCCCCCCTTCCCCCTCCGCCAATCCCGGCATCACGGGGATGCAAAGTCGATGGTGTAACGACGACTACCGCATGCGTTTACATGAGAACACGCCCCCCCACTTTCGGTGCCCTTGGTTCTCAGTACCCGATCGACGGCAAGCGGCTGATACACAAGGTCCTCGAGACGGTGGACTGGCTCTCCGAACAGGAGGACGCCGACACGACGTTCGAGTCCTTCTTGAGCGGCTGGTTCCTAGGGGCGGACTGCTCCGAGCTGAAGCGGGGTAACTTGGTGGTGTTTCTGGCATGGACTCTCTATGCCAAGGACGTGGACATGCTTTCGAAGGCAGAGCGGAAGAACGTCATGAGCATGGTGGGCGGCGCGCGCTGGGAGTGTACTCATGTTTTGCATGCCTCAGTTGTTAGACTATTGGATCCTCGAGAGGGAGGACGGGTACCGTGAGCTTGAGGTTCTTGTCCAATCGTGTGTCGTGTGATTTTACAATGTAGGCGTTGTTTGTCACCGTGTTGTTCGTGGTTTCGCTTGGCCTGTCTGTTGATCACGCGTGCCCAAAACGATTGTTCAGAGATTCTTTCCCAACCCCTCGCCAACTCCCGCGTGCACCGTATTTTCATGTAGCAACTTCCACCTTCCGCCATCCTCGGCAGTCTTTCCCCACCTTTCTCCCGCCCACCCGGCCACACTTGTTGCACGCCATGCCGGACCACGCCCCCCCTCTTCTGTGCACGCGTATTTTCGTTTTCTCCGTTTATAGATTAAGCTGATCGAGGGACGCCTCGGCCGCACCCTGGAGCCGGGCTTCAACGAGCGAGTGAAGTGCATCCGCCACACTCTCGACCGTGTGGTCCCGTTCTCCCACCGGCCCCTGGCCCTCTACGCGGTCCTCGGGCTGGCCCGCGCCCTTCTCCGGATCGCTCTCGGCTTCTGCGGCTTTCGCCGGAGGCTCGCCCCCTGCGGTTCCTTCATGTACTGGCACCGGCAAGCGCCTCCGTCTGCGGCGGCGGCGGCGGCGGCGATGCCGGAGAAAACGGAGGGCCCCGGGCCTATAGTTTTTTTCCACGGGGTGGGAGCGGGCCTGCCGTTCTACGTCCTGGCGCTCTGGAAAATGTGCCGGCACCGGGTGAGGAGGCGAAGCGGGTGTGTTTTTTGTATGTCACGTGGAACTGTCGAGTTTGGGGTGGGTCGAGGTGGAAGCGAGCCACGGCGGTAGTAGCTGTGGCGTGAATCTCGTCAAGATGTGGTAGTGGGGTCGGGTCAAGGTGGAGGCAGAGATTTCGAGAAGAACGGGAGGCAACCCGCTGTGCCAGAGTATTGGTCGATGAGTTGAGGCAAGAGTGCTCGGGGGGACTCGATTTCGTCGGTCCTAGAATGATGCGGATAGAAGGTCTGTGGATCGGGTGGCACTCTCACGTCCGTGGCACGGAAGAGGAGCCACTGCGAAAGGCGCCATCATGTTTCTTTTTGGGCACCGCGGCAGGGGCAGCCGCAACAGCAACGAGGCCGACGATATTTTCCGAAATGATCTCCGGTTTTTATCCCTCATGCGCCTCTCCGCTGGACAAAATCTCCATCCCTAGTCTTTGCTCCCGCCCCCGCCCCCCCCATCTCTCTCCCGTTTACCTGCTGCTACCTTCGTATTACCTCTCCTTCTCGTTTTTCGCGCCTCCTGATATCAGACCTCCATCATCGTGGAGGCCCCATCCATCATGATGAGCCTCGCCCTCCTGAGGGGACACACGCCCCCCTCCGAGGACCAGCTGGTGGAGAGCGTGGAGGGCATCTTGGAGAGGCACGGGGTGAAGCGGGCGGCGTTTTTCGGGCACAGCTTCGGGAGCATCTCGGTCGCCTGGATGGCCAGACGGAAGCCGCACGTGAGTAGTGTTTTTTTTGTGCTGGTTTCGCTGTGGGGGTGGGGTTGGCGGGGGGGGCATTCGGTCGCCGAGATGACTGCGAAAATACGCAGCCGGCGATTAGACTCACTCCACACGGGGTGGCGCCTTACGTAGGTGGGTCGGGTAATTATTGGCGTTCATGTTTGTGCAGGCGTGGCCGCCGGCGAAGGCCCTGGTGCCTTGCTGTGCACGTCGAGCGATGGGGGGTAGCGGAGGGTGGGACGTCGTGGGTTTATATTCTTGTTTTTTAAGTTTTTCCCAGAGCTTCTTCGAAGCGTTTCTACGACAGCGAAACCTACACGTAAAGCAGCAGCTATGTGCCAGCTCTTGCGAATGGACACGAACCGCGATCAAGCCCATACATGCGTCGCTTTTACAAAAGGGAGTAATTCCGCTCGATCTTTTCTCCCTCCTCGCAGCTGGTGTCCCAGATCGTGCTGCTCGACCCGGTGTGCCTGCTGCTGTTCCTGCCCAACGTGGCGAGGTCGTTCCTCTTCCCGGACACGGACGGGATGCCGCTGCACGAGAGGCTGATGCTGTACCTCGTCACCAGGGAGAAGGGGATCTCACACACCCTCCGGAGACACTTCTGGTGGTACGCGGTGAGTTAGATGGCATGAGTTCAGTTCAGTTCAATGCAGTTGAGTTGAGCTGCGGGTGTGGAAGCGACATACATGGATGCATCTCCCCCTGGAGGTGCATGCGCGGCGGTTGGTTATTCCTTGTGGGCTGGAATTTGTGCACAACAAGCAAGACAGGGAGGGGGATGCCGAATACGGGGCGGAATTATGGCTTGGCGAGGGGAGAAGGCGACGAAAGGGGGATGTGTGCTAGGTCTTCGTTGTCTCTCGCCGGTATTCGCAGCGGTTCGTGCAACCGTGGTACTTGTTTGCTCCTCTTGGTCACCGCAGGGTTCTCCGCACTGTTTCCGTCACGTGCGCTGTAGCACATAATTTCCTGGCTTGAGATGGCTACCGCAGTGGGCGCGTCCGCTACACAGGCGAGCCATGACCGCGTATCGCGTAGCAGGGAACAGCTGACTGGTGTTTCTTTTTACATCTTTCTCCCGCTCGGTCTGTCTCGCACGCACGCGCATGTCTGTCGGGGAACCGGTGGCTTGGCGCACGGGGAGGCAGAACGTCATGTGGCCGGAGGATATCAAGTGCCCCATCGTGGTGGGACTAGCCGGACAGGACAAGATCGTGCCCTGCAAGCCCCTCCGCCGGTATCTTCTCTCGCACAGCACCTTTGCGACGAGCTCTTCCTGCCCCTCCGGACTAAACATGAGCTCCGTCGATGGCTTAATCAACCGCGGGGGAGGCGGCAGCAACGGTAAGCACAACGACGAAAGCGTCGGCAGTAGTAGTGGGACCGGAGACGGCAGTCTTCGAAAGGGGAGCGGCTGGACACCAGCGGGTGGCGGCGGCGGCGGCGCCAGGGGTTTCGTCACGAACGTGAACGGCAACAACAGGTGCAAGGTCCACAAGTGCGTCGGCGGTTACAAGTGTAACGGCCACGGTGGTCCCGCCGCGTCTCATGGTTCCGCCGTGCGTAACGGCGGCCTCGTTTCGACCGCAAACGGTGGCGGCCACGTCAGCAAGGCAGCGGTGTTGGGTCAATCACCGGAGGCGCCAGGCAAGCGGGAGATTGCCAAGGCCAAGAGTGACGGTAGTGATTCCGGCGGCGACGGCGTCGTCAAGCGGGTGGAACTTGTCTATTGGACGGATGCAGGGCACGGAAACGTGCTGGGGGACCCACGGGCGCTGGACGAGTTTGTGCGGGTGGCCACGGCTCAAGGAGCGGCGCTCTCGGTCAACTAGATTCGACTCGATTGGTCGCGTTCGTGAACCGCAAGCGTTGTGGACGGAATGATGAGCGGTGGGATGAGGGAAACAAGGTTTCGTCCGCGTGGACCGAGAAAATTCCGTTGCCGGGCTCGAGACTGACGAACGTCGGCTCCTCAGAAACGATCGGAGTTAGCTTGGCTAGGATGGGCATGGGGAGTGACTGACTTAGTCTATTGGCCTCCGCGGTTGTGCTAGAAGATCCCACGCCTGTTTTGTTTATTTTGGTTGCGACGCCGATGCCCCACCCCGCGTCACGCCTGCGCTTGTCGCTGGAGGCCTAGGTGCACCTAGGGTTACCTGATGTGCCCTGGCCACCGCCCGCGATCGCGAAGTGCTCGTGCACCGTGATAGAGTAAACCTGGAGTACAATAGAAGTGGTCCTAACACACAGTTAGTCAAGTCCCATGAGTAGAAGATATGGTTCAGCCGTAGCACTTTCCAGGCAGACCGCGGTCTTGACGAAGGGATCTCTCGGGGGCAGTGAGCTGCTGCTGTCTTGGTGGGTGACTGTGTCTGCCTCTCGCCTGTGAGTCCCCAAACGGCCCGCACTGGATGCACCATCTAGGTTGCGGACAGCCGCTTGCCCACGAGGCCGCCCGAGGGAGAGCAGTACTTTAGCACAGCTAGCTGCATATAAATAGGTTCTAATCTGTTCACTCGACGTGGGGGTAGGCGACCCTTCCCTACCCACTGCATGACCCCTTTTTTCGAATAGAGGTGTGTTGTCGATAGATGAGACCGTAGAGGAGGAGATGGTGCTTCTTCTCTCTTTTCTTCTATTTCTTTGTTTTCTTCGTGGATGCTGGGGACGAGGCTTGCGGATGATCCCTCGCGCAGCATCTTCTACTAGCATGTCGCACAGAGTCCCAGTATTTTGCCTTTTCGCGCGTGTGGGTGTACATCCTTGTTTCGTGGGCAGACTTTATTTTTGCTTAACGTGCTTTCGAAAAATGTACTTGAATGAAGATTGCGCGTTGTGGTCGTTTCTGCTTGAGAAATGCGGGCAATTGACATAATTTTCCCCCATGAAGACGAACGAAACATTCTGTATTGTATTTAGACAGACGCTAGACATGCCCCTGTCCATTCGTCTGTGGACGAGATTCTCCTTGTTGCAGGGGGCAATCCGTTGCGATTAGCGGGCCAGCTACGTATCAGAGGCCTCTCGAGATGGTTTGCAGGGGCTGACTTTTTTGTACCGAGGAAGTTTTCCCAGTATTCTTGAGTGATATGTTGCAGCCTGTACGCGCAGCATTACCGTGGTACAGGCCTTGCGTGTGACGAACCCAGCGCTCACCCTGCGGGCACACGGTATGCTCCTTTGGAGCACATGAAGGTACCACTGCTGTGAGCAGAGATATATTGTGAAGTGAAGCACTTGATCTCAAAGAACAGACACCATCCATCAAGGGCCAGGACTCTTGTATGTTGTTACTCTCTCTTGTTCTAGATACTTTTACGTTGAGCGTCCGTTGATCGGCCCAGGGGTGGATCTTGGGGACGGTATGCCCCAGTGCCCGTTAGTCGTGTTCTTGTTGCGGTGAGGACTCACGGTGGATGGGTGGCTGTTTCGTCTTGGTGATTGTCGTGTACTGACGTACATCTCTTTGTTGTTATGTTGCTAGTGCAGTTCTTGTTTTCCAGGTCCGTCAATTATAATGAAAGAACAAGTACGTCCGTCTCTACTTTAGGATCGGTATAGCGTACGCGGATCGGTATAGCGTACGCGGATCGGTATAGCGTACGCGCGTGTTTCTTTGTGGTGGAATCGATCTTGTTGAGCGCAGTACATGTTTGCCACGATGAGGAAGCGAGAACTTGTGTCTCGTCTTCGTCTGTTTGCAATGCAAGACTGCAAGACTGCATGAAGGAGGGCAATCGTGCAGCTTGCGCGCGTGCGCACACAACACGCGTACTGTTGCTGGAAAGCCTCAAAATCATTGGACGTAATTCGATCGCCTAAGGGAAGACATGCCGTGTAGGAATGGTAGGGCCATGTGGGTCCACCCGATATTGGACACGACATCGCTCCACGCCACCCCCATCCTTCACCCTGTCTTCATCCTGCCATGTCATCGCGCTTTGATTCGAACTCCTGGTTATATCGATCGATCCCTTAGGCCCCACCCCGCGTCTTCTACAGTACAGTATAACTGCGTTCCTCCCCAGAAACATGCCTTGCCCCCGTCCCCGTGCTACAGTGGTGTGCCCAAACATGTTCGAGCTCCGTGGTCCTACACGCCTTCTCCATTCCGTTCCATCTGTGTGACTTCACGCGACATCGCCCCTCAAGGGCATGTACATCTTCATACTTTGCCAGGGAAGTTCATGGAAATTTCCGTAGAAGTTCATGGAATTCCATGGCCTGCATATAGAAGTGCATGGACTTCCATTTAGTGGACTTCCATGAAAGTGTTTCGTGAACATTCAGGAACGTTCACGACTGTTAAAGGATGCCCACAAATTGCGTTTGTCGAAACACCATTTCGGCTTCATCGGAAGATGACGTGGACGTCCGTGGAATATAGTCTGGACTGCCGCCATGAAACGTTTCATGGAATTCCATGGACGACTTCCATGTACTTTCGCTGCCTCCATGGACTTCGATGGACTTTCATGTAATTCCATAGACTTCCATGGCAATTTGCAGGGAAGTCCATGGCAGTCCATGGAAGTCCATGGACAGTTTCGTGGAAGTCCATGGTGGTCCCTGGAATTCCATGAAACATTGCATGAAAAAGTACTACATAGCGTAGAGGCCTAGCCCTTCCCCGTTGTTATGCCCTGTCGCGTCCATCCGTGATCCGGGCTACACCAATCATTCGCCACCCGACCTACGCACAATCCAACGGACATGCGTGGAATACGATCGCACCAAACACACCCTTTTCAACGGCGCTTCTCCCTTCATGGCATCTCCCGTCCATCCTAGCTATTCAGGGTATTGAATACTTACCTCCAGGAGCACGTCTTGTTCCCTCACACCCACATCGTTGGTATCGTTTCTTGTCGAACCAGTCCCTTAACAGACCCTTACCCCGCCATTCCATCTCGTGCTCACTTTTGGGAACATCGATCATCCCATTGCCATGTTCACTCACTCTCGTTTGGGAGGAATCGCTCTTCGCGAACCGAACCCCGTTCCCGACCCGTTTTTGCACCCTCTCGTCCAGCCGCACTTGTAGATGTCCTCGCCAACCAGCCCATCCCCAATCTTCCTCCGGCCAAACCAATCGGGTCCGGTGAAGTTCCTCGCCACATCTGACACGCGCCTCCTACAACAACGCATTGTTCACTCGCTCTTAACTTTCAGGAATCCTACGCACCCCATACCTTTCCTCGACTATTCCGCCGCCATGTTACCTCGCGCGCAGCTCCTAGCCCGAACAGGCATTGTTCACTAACTAAAACTGCGTTGCAGCTCGCCATCCCATTTCCTTCTCTGACCCTTCGCCAGTCATGCAGTATCGCGCCCAGCCCAGCTCCGGCTACTCGTCCATTGAACCCTCGCCCATGTTCATAAAAACTCAACCACGTTGCCACTCTCGAGATCGTTGCCAAACCAGTCCCTTCCCCGACCATTTTACCGGTATGCCTTTCTCACGTCCAGCTACGCTAGACTAGAAGCCAAATGTTATGACTAGAGAACGAAAGGAAAAGTGACTGGTTCGGCGCGGAGCGCTACCACCCCAGGTGAGTCTGGGTGAACCACGGTAGACGTCCGTGTTTCGTCCGTGCATGTTCACTTACGATCAGCTTCGCTTTAGGGCTCCTTGCTGAACCAATCCTCTTCCCCCGACCCTTCTCACACCATGACCTCTCGCGTCCAGCTTACCTCTGACTCCTTGACTCATAAAAAGCACCTCGTAGGTCACTCAGACTCATTTGCGATGCAGCTTTCCTCGCCAAACCAGTCCCTACCCCGAACCGTCTTCTGACATGCCATGTCGCGCCCAGGCGAGAGTGGCTGGGCGCAAGATGGTATGGCAGAAGAAGAGTCGGAAAAGCGACTGGTTTGGCCAGGAGCTTAAACGCAGAGGTGAAAGTGTGTCCATAGGCGTGGGATAGGAGGCATGGAGGTGGAGGTCGGCTGGACGCAAGATATCATCGCGGGTGAAGGGTCAGGCGTGTGACTGAATAGGTAACGGGCGCTGCCACGCACGTGAGTGTGAGTGAACGAGGGGTCCGCTCCTCACTATCCACCTTTTTTACACTCACACTCAGCTTCGTTTCAGGGCACCTTCCCCTTCCCCTTGTCCCCCCATGCCACGTAGCACCCAGCCGAAATGCGACTCTGTGGCTGCCTAAGCTCGACTCTCCTACCGCCATCTGATCTCGCTCTCAGCCAAGCTCCGACCATGTCCCTCCAGGCGAACGCCGTGTTCACTCACGCTCACCTGGATAGCAGTGCACCTCGCCATACCAGTCCAACCTCAGCTAAATGCGAGATGTCATGGTAGGAGGCGGGCCGGGGAATGAATGGGTTTGGTCGAAGCGTTGCCACGCATGCAAAATACGAGTGAACGAGTCGTCCGGTGCACACAGTA